ACCTTCAGATGTAATACTTCGTATTATATTATACAGGGTGAGCCATTTAAAATAGGCCACCTGAATAATTCGCTTACTTTTAGCGATAGAAAAAAAAAGTGTCTCACTCTGTATTATCCTGAAATCAATATATACTACACATTCTTGTAAAACTTACTCGTACAGTGACACTAGTGCCAGATCGTTTGATGAAGTCTATGATTTCCTCGCGCGATTTATCGTCCACGTCGATCCCGTTAACCTCGATCAATCTATCGCCAGGCAACAAGCCAGTGTCATTGTTGTTTTGTACCAAGGAACCAGGTTCTGCAAAAATCACCGATTTCATTTGCGCAACGCCGCCCGTGGATCGTTTGACGATCACGACTCGACGCAAGGAAAATCCAAAATCGTTTCGAGGCGGTGGTTGTCTATGAATCGTCAATTCCCTGGGCTCAGGAAGTTCGATGGGAACAATTTCGGGGAGTTGTAATTCGACACCCTGTTCCTCGAACGACGCTGACGATCGCCATCTTGAGAAACCTTGGGATTCCCCTACTGGCGACAAGCTGAAGGGTGGAGTCGCAAAACTCGAATTCGTCGTATCGGTCAAAGAGTCTGCCGAGGGACTCGCGCTAGTTACTACCTGAAACGAGAAACAATTACAATTAAACATTTGCGAACGGCTCGAGAAGTAACCAATGTAAATGCTTACACTAATGCGCATTGCTCACAAACCCATTTCTTTTTTCTTTTTCAGTTATCGCATCGCATGTTCTTTTCGCCGCGTTTTGTTTTATCGCTAATAAATACCTTCTCTAATCTACCACATTGTGTACATTATTACCTAGCGCCTGCTTAATCCTAACACGAAGCACAACGAATGTGCAACATGAAAATTTGTTTTCCTCGAATAAGAAGAGAGAAGAAAATCCAGCAGGAAGATCGACGAACCTGCAGAAGTTTCGTATCACCCTGATGATGTACAGTATGATAATGATGATGGTACTGTTGCTGTTGCTGCTGATTCTGTTGAACAGATCGTTGAGGTGAGATTTGCCACAAACTCGGACCAGTCTGCATCTCTTGTCCTCTGCAAGATTCTTCTATATTTACAGCGTTCCCAAATCCCGACAAATGCGTGGGTACATTCTGATAAGCTATCATCTCGTTTTGCAAAGTGTTTCTCACTAATAAATTACTAGCCTCTTGGTAGTTAACTTCGTCACCGTTCGACAATGCGCTCTCCTCGGAGGTGTTCGCCATACCACTGATGTTCAAACGTGATCCTTTCAGAATCCCACGTTTGGGAGGTTTCGGTGGTAACGGTGGCAAGTTCTTTCCCGTGCAGTCGGTAACGTCCGTCAACGTTACCGTGGAGGTTGTGCTAGCGATGGTCAAAGAAGTCAGGGATATCTCCGAGGAGTCGCTCTGCGTCAAACCATCGTGCGTCTTGTTCGACAAATTGTTTCCACCGCGCAAACTCTCGCCAGAATTTGCTGAATTCTGCGAGTTTTCCAACAGATCGCGGTCCAAGTAGGCGAAAAATGAGGCACTGTAGTCTGCGGTGATGCCACTTGGCAGTTTCTGCTTCTCCTTTCTACGCCCAGGAATCTTCAATGACCTTCGAACCTGTAATCACAAGAAATAATGTGAAATTATTATAGAAAAATGGCATTTCGAGGAAAATTTTGAATAAAACAAGATTAATGGTGAATTAGAAATTGTAATAAGAGAAAAGATATCTTCTATTCATTCCTGTTTATTATACATGTATGTATATTATATGTAGATATTAATTCAAATAGAGAAATAGTATTAAAAGAATAAGAAGAAGAATCTAGAAATGTATAAACTAGTAAATTAAGTATCTAAAAAGCCCATACGTAAATAATATGTACTACTTACAGAAATGTTTATATATATAATAATATGAAAAAAAAAAAAAATGTGAGATTTATGCTATTATTGAAATCAAAATGTCATTTGTAGTAAAAACGCGCCAACACTGCGATCAATTGAAATGTCATTAATCGGTAGACATTTGTGACATCTAACCAACAAAATTGACGCTAGTCCGTTACGTCTTTCAGTTTCAATATACTCCAAAGATAAATAAACTTTATAGCTCACAATGTTTTCTTTCCATCGATAAATTACAGTTTTTCGCATGGTAAAAAAAATAAAAATAAACGCACGTTTTAAACTGGAGCCGGTAATCTTAAGCAGTACCAATATTATAAACAAACGCTCACGTCGATTCGAGTTACCACTAGTTACCGCGGTTTAACGCAGTCTCTACTTACCAACTGTGAAAATGTTACGGTGTTGTCAAGTTTTACTATATAAAAATTTATTTACAAAAATTAATTTATTTATGAAATGTCTTTAAATAATTTATATTATTCATCTCAAATATATAAAAAAGAAGATATACTTTTATTTGAAACTGAATTCAGGACATTGTCAATGCCAACAGCTTTTTTTTATTAATGGTTGAAAATATTTAGAATTTCGTTCTAAAATTAAAGAAAAACAAAAATATTCGTGATAATTTTCTTGTTATATATATAAACATTCCTGTAAGTAGTAAATTATATAATAGTATTTACGCATGAGCTTTTTAGATACTTCTTTTACCAGTTTATGAATTTCTAGATTATTCTTCCTATTCTTTTAGTACTATCTCTCTATTTGAATTAACGTGACATAGCTTGTGTAAATTTGTTTGTACATAAAAGTTCCTGCAAAAGTCACTAGCAAGCTCTACATGTTAGACCTATTTTCCAAAGCTATTAGGTGTTGTACATTGACTCAATGTCATTGAGTACACCTGTATTTCGTAACTTAAAAATTAATTGCAACGTGGTGTTTATTTAAAGATCAAACCAAAGAATATATCGAATCAATCCTATCGAATAATCGAATAAGTTTAAAGAAAATTGGAGTTGGACGATTCGTGTATTTGAAACGACAGTAGTTAACATGTGCGGCGAGGTTGCATCGATTGACGAAGGAAAAAGGAAGTAGAATACGTACTTCGTCCAAACGTAGCAATTCTTCGGCGGACATGCTACTGCGGTCTCGTTTCTTCACATCTTTTCGCTCCTTCTTCTCGCGCTTCCTCTTCTCCTTGTCGTCCTTTTCCGTGGCTTTCTTCATAAAGTTAAACATTTTCTCATTCGCGGTAAAAATCTTGATTCGAACGTGAGAAAGAGATAACGCGCGATATCTCCCCCCTCGGGTGGTCTCGCGGCCACTCGCACCTAGACACGGTACACACCTCGGGCTCACAAGCGTATTTCACTCGAACCCACACGCATGATACGGCACTGTCCATCGAACCGATTATGGAGATAACATTGCGTTCCGTCTCGGCGCTAAACAACCGACAACACCATTTTCTACCTAATGTTATTATAGCAGGGGGGGGGGGGGGCCGGAAAGGGAGTGGAGCGTGCGGTCGCGCTGAATCACCGTGAATCGCTACAGAAAACTGTACGATAAACCAATCCAGAGTAAACAACGATACGCCGCCTTCGATATTCCGTTATCCCATGAGTACGTTTAGATATTTCCTATCGGTACGAGCTACGCGTAGCAAATATCGAACGGTTATTAAATTTTCCGTCGATCATAGCCGTGCAAGGGCGTGAACCTACAGAGGGAAACGTTTCTTTTGTCTTGTATGACCAGGTATTTTTCAGCGTTTGATCCCCGTGTGCGAAATTACTCCTCCAGCCATTGCTGGTTACCTTTTATACTTGTCACTGAACTAAGAATATTGCAAGAGGGCCAGTAAGACGTGTCGCGAACAAGTTAAAACATTTCGACAACGATACGTTCCTCCTATCTCTAATTTCGTTTATTTCGTTTCACCTGGAAACGGCATTGTTCATTGCTAACAGAGAATCAAAAGTTCTGGTCTCGGGAGACTTGGGTCGAACGGTGTCGAGTCGGTATGCCACTAGAAGGGAAAAAGAAAAGAAACACGCGCGGCTAGAACAATGAGCAACGAGACACGAGGAGCGGAGTAGGAAAGTAAAGAGAAAAAGAGGGAGCGAAAGGGCACCGGGAATCTACAACCTACATGTCACTTTTTCGGCTGCACCTTCTACCTATAACCGCCCCGAGTTTCGAGCGATCGAGTTCTGCTTGTAAACAAATCTCGCGAAATCTCGAGGACGAACCGTGCACGTCGCGACAGCGTAGTCATGTATTCACATCGGAATCGAGCGATCGGTAAAAACGGTCGGACGGAGTACGATCACAGTTTTCGATGTACGAGCACACTGACAGCCAACACAGCACGAACACACGTCACAATATCGTTGTTCGACGGAACGAAGACGCGTGCGATTCTCGGAGGACAGCACACTGATTTTAAACGGCAGTGCCACGGTTCGCTTGCCAAGTAATCGTACACGAGTCTTCGAAGGCATATAGCTTGGCCCATTAAATCGTATCCCTTATCGGAAAGGTACAATCAATAATAGATGAAAGTTCAACGTCGCACTCGTGTGACACTGTGTGACACCCATACCTGTCATGGCAGTCTCGTCCAGGGGTAGGCATCTCACGGGGTTTTGCCGTGGACCTCCTACAACGCCTCAGACGACGCGACCTGGAACTAAACACACAACTGGAGGGGACAGGGAGAGCTATGGAGGGAAATTTAATCTTTCGAGATAGTCACGTTCAAAAGTATAATTGGAAACTTTTGTAAAATACAGTTTTACTACACGTCCATAATAAATCGATACGTATACGTACACATACATTCGTAATACTCGGGAAATGATTCTGACAACATATTGCCGCGCAATTTCCCAACGTTCGCTTTAAAATTTTCATGAATTATACCTCAGTAACGATGAGGTCAATAATTGTTAATCAATAATAATATCGGTTTTTATAACATATACAATTTTCAGCAGCTTCCTAAATTGCATACTATACAGATGATTCTATTAGTACTTCTCACCCCCCCCACCCCGAATCTTTATTTCGCATGTCCACTAAGAATCTAACCTAAAAACGCCAAAGTTTCGTCCCTACAACTGCAAGTTGTAAGTGTACTCCAACTCCAATGTGACTTTGTGACGATATATTTACGCTTCGATCAGATTGAACAAGTTTTGTTTAATATATACGTAAAGATTTCATATTTTAAAAGCAAAGTGTATTTACTTGATCTACAATTCCTCGAAAAGCATGTCGACATTTACTTTTGGATCGCCTTCGACAACAAACAATACAAACTTCGGATTTGGACAAAAGTGTGTATAATTTTAGACTTTCTACTAATCTTTCTATCAAAAACTTAAAGAAGACATTAATATTTTATTATAACTTTGTAGACCAGCAACAGGTTTTAATTTAACTAGCGTACCATTTGGTTCGACTACACCCGCATCTACGCTGTCTTTTGGAGCTTCCACGATACCAGCAACAACTAGTAGTCTAAGTTTTGGGTTCAATAGCACCCCTGGAATTTCCACCCAAGCACAATCGAGCAACCTAGTTTTAGGATCTAATGTAGCAGCCACAACAACTGCTACTAGTTTATTTCCAACTGCTACTACTAGCACGTCGCTATTCAGCAATCTTTCTTTTGGGGCACCTGCAGCAAGTACTAGTTTAACATTTGGTACTCCAAGTAATACATCTACCACTGGGAATCTTACATTTAGCGCACCTACTACTACAAGTATATATAAATATAATCTTAATTCCTTAACCCTTTGCCGTACTTTGACAAATTGTGTTCATTGTCACAAATAATATGAATTATGTGAACAAATAAATAATCTCAATGATTGAAACAAAAAAAATAACAACTAAAAGTTGAATGTTATCAGTCTAAATGGTACGGCAAAGAGGTTGATATTATTGATAAATATATACATGTATATACGTAATATTGCATATCTGTAGCACCACTTTTTGGTGGATCTATTACCAGTGGTGGTTTATTAGGATCCAAGCCACTTACCAGTACTAGTGTTACAACCACCACGAATAAAGGCCTAGGAGGTTTAGATGTATCGGTAAGCAATAAAGGTCTTTCGCAAGGAAGCAATAGTCCAGCTACTACTAAAGACAATGTTTGGCCACCGGAATTAATGCAGACAATAGACAAATTCAAGTAATTGTTATACAAGATATTAAAAAAGATAAATGTATTAAAATTAAAATAGATTTATTTGGTGTATATTTTTCATCAGAGAGTTTGTGAAAGAACAGAAGGTGTTGTCTTCGGATATAGCAAGGGGTTCTGCGAGACCGCTAAATCGATGCGCAGAAGATACAACTTTGTTAATGGAAATGTTAACGACGTTAGCTGGTTCTGTCCAAAGAGATCGTTCTTCGGCTGATAAATTAAAGCAAGATACAGCGAGAGCATTACAAAACGCAGAAATAGCACAAAGGACACACGATACTCCATTAGGATTACAATATGAAAATAACGCGCCATTGTTATTTTTCATGGAATTAGTTGATAATTTTGAACACGATTTAATGCTGTTTAGGTCTCAAATTGAAACAACAGAGAAGCATATACAAGCAATGATGACTCCGAAAACTTTAACACCGCAAGGTAATCTCGTTAGTATTCGCACTGAAAAGATGTTATTAGATGTAATTTAATGTACTTTTAGAATTAACAATGGCTATGAGTAAACTTCACGAGTCCCTGGTAGCTGTTGCTGGTAAATTACAAGGAGTGCATTCTAAAGTACAGCAACACAAGGAACAGTATCTGAATTTTAGGAAGTATGTTTTGAAAGACAATACAAATGTTTTCGAAGATGTTAAAACGGACGGGAAAACATTTCGACATAACTTCGGAAAAATTACAAGTGGTCCGACTCCATTTGGACCTGGTGATTATCTTTATAATCGTTGAGTAATAATTAATATATGTATATTCCATGCATTATATATTTTACGTTTACAGGAAACAAAAGCTTTCTTTCGTCGACAGCTTTGAACTCTAACAGACCGGGAACTTACGAAACTCGAAATCCATTAGGTAAATAAAATGATTTCACGATCCCATGGTATAACATATCCTTACGTTGAAAACAGTACCCCCAAAACAACGTATTCTCGTTGTTTCAATTATCCCATAAACATCTCCTACCTTCAGGTCTTGCGTGGATTTAGTATGAGGTAGATTTACTAACATATAACGTCCTTTTAGTAGATAGCGACGTTGCTCACGATTCTTTAGTTTGTAAATATTTTCAACTTGCATTTTAATTCTTGTGGTTTGATTTTGATTTTGCCTTTCCAGGAAAAGAGTAAGGGGTCTATTTTAGTTTGCGAGGTATTCAATTTTTTACTTAGACTTCTTGTGTTGTCATTTGTGGGAAGGGATACCAAAGCTTGCGTATCTAACACGTATTACTTACATAAGAAAACATATCTATTATTGTAATAATGACGGAATAAATGTTTTTCTTCTCTTTTTGTAATATCCATTACAAAATAGGAATGTACGAAGAAAAATTGAAACCTTAATTGAGGAATGCTTATTAAGGAATGGCTGTGTTTTATATGCGCTTAAATTGCTTCTGTCGTCTTGGTGATTATGAAAGCGTTCGCGTCGACTCGAGTGTATAATATTTCATAGAACATATGGGATTTGTGTCGTGCATAAAAACCTTCCTAATATTTTATGGGTACAGTTAAGTATTAGCGGTAACTAAAGTTTCATTAACTCCCCGTTGTTGTTAATATCGCTAATAATACATTATTATCGATCATGTTAATTTTTCGAAATATATATATATATACACACACATATATACAGCTTTAGCTATTGTACGCAAACGAAACTAACATTTTAAATAGGTTCAAAACAATTCAGTGCATACATATGTTGTTACAGTTTGGGGAAATGCGATACCAACATCATCTGCTACTAACATTAATCTAGGCCCATCATTGAAACCGCCAACTGCAAGTTTGACTTTTAATATTCCAACAAACCTTACTGCACCTTTACCAACAAGCGAGTCGAGTACGAGTTTTCAACTTCAGAAACCTCCCGTTGGTAATAAAAGAGGAAAACATTAAACGGTATTTCTCTCGATATCACTTAAAATAATGTTCTCTACGTTACTTTTTGTTACGTTGCGTAGAATTAATTTGTTTATTTAATTGAAAAAAGGTTTTTACCTGCGCGATAAAAATATAACAACAAATTATTTTTTTTTTTATTCGATGTATAATTGTAATTCGAATGGGTTTTATTGAGTACGTGTTTTATACGCACAGTGATAAATGTCACAAACATATTTAAAAATACATTGTCATTTTACTAATTGTTTTATTAATAATTGCTGAGTAGCATACCGTTTTCTATGAGAATCTATTATTGTGTAAGTTGTATCCTAACGTCTAAGCCCCCCTTTCAGGATGAATTCAACGGTTTAGGGAGTCTTTTAGCTTAGATCTTGACAAAAATTGATTTTCTTTTTATTTACAATCTCTTAAAATTTTTGATAGCATTTGTACATGGAAGAAATCTTTATGGATTAAATAATCAGTATTTTTTATATCTCGAAAGTGATTTCGTCATTTTTACAATAGCTAAGCCGAAAGATCTTTCATAAACGGTGAAACAAGTTCTAAAGCTTTTTCGATCGAGCTTTTTATTTACTTATACATGTGTATTGTTTCTTAATTGTAATAAACTGAATTTATTTATAGAAGAGTATAGTATACTGATCATAGAACAGTACCAGGGCGGTACGTAAGATGTCCTTGTAAACAAAATATTTATATAGAATCTCTTATACATGTTTAATTAATTAACACTTTGATTACCATGCGAAGTATGTTGAAAGTCGTGCAGAGGTGCCTATTAGATCATAGTTCTCTCTGTTTATACTTTGAGGGGTTTAGACGTCTGGTAGACGTTTCAGAGTAAACTCTGTTCGATTAAACGTCTTAATAGTGCTATTGTTATAGTAAGTATTCTAACTATTTTGCATATCTATTAATTATGTATGTAAATCAGTATTCGATAAGATAGAAAATTATAATAGAATATTAAAATAATATAACAGAATAATTTGATACTCGATTAAATTAAAAAGGGTTAACGACGAAAAAACAATGTCAAATTATATAGTTATATATTTATATGACACATTTTGGAACACATCCTGTACATATAATACATTTACATAATGATAATTATTATTAGTAATAATCATTAATTCCGAGATAAGAAACTTGTTATTTTACCGTATTAAAAGTTATTTCAAAGCTGCAATTTTTTATTCTGTTATTATGATTGCATGCTATTTACATTGTTATTATGTTACTGTTGCTATAATAACTTTCAAAAACATTAGAATCTGTACGTATCTTTACGTGTAGTGCTTACAAATCGATGTATTTGGTCCCTCTAGTGAACGAAAACATTGAGAAAGTAATACTAAAAAATCGTTTGCAAGAAATCCAGTACTTGGTTTGCAATTAAACTAGATAGCACCGACTTGTATAATAGGGATTAACAGTTTGAAGGCATCTTGAACGTATGAACTTGCATTTGAAGCCTGTTCAAAATACGAAAGAATTAATTTTGTATGCGCGTTATAGGAGAGCTTCTTGTACAATATTTCCTTACCTCCATGAAAATCGTTGTTATATTAGACTTAATAATGTCCAGCTTGTCTGAAACTTGAAAAAGTGAATTTAAAGAACTACAATAAGAATTGGCTAGTATCCCAATTTGATTGGAGAGAATATGCGTTAAATGAACCAATGCATCTGCTTCGTTCACAGTGCTTCTGTGTTCTTTGATTAGAAGTAATTCTGCAGTTTTGTGAAATCTCTCCATCGAGAAGGCTGTGAATTGTGCCAAGACGGAAATAGCATGTACGAATATTTCCTGATCGGTATGGGTAACCGGTGGTGCGAGATAAACTTCAGACTCCTTGCAAACCTAAGATCGGTATTAAAATGTATACTGTGTATCTAGACCATGTTTACATTACTTACATCATGTAATTTTTCATATGCAATAACAATTCCAAGATTGTTACAAGCTTCTTGTAGTCGAATTTTCAAATCGTTTACTTCGTCCTTATTTTCTTCAACTTCGCCTAAATCGCATAATTCTTTAACTTCTTCTAACGTCTCTTGAACAGAGTTTAATTCAGTCATACTTAAGCCACTCAAATGCTGTTGTATTTTAATACTGCTTTGTTTCGATAACATTTCTAATGCTTCTAAGTGAACTAGGCCTTGATAATCATCAAACAGGCTTTCAAAATGAATTTTTCTCATCTTTTGCTTTTCCTCTATTGTTTTTTCAATGGCATCAGCTTTATCCTTCGCTTCTCGAAGAACTTGCGACAAAATTGGCTTATCTGCTTCATTCATGAAAAAGGCCCTTTTTTTTTTTAAGCCTGGATCACCTTCCTGTAAAACTTCCATTGTTTTTTTGCCAATGGCTTCTAATGTATCTAATCCACCAGTCATAACTTTAGTTCCAGTTGATTCAACCAATTTGGTTATCGAAGATACACCTGATATGAAATTCCCAAATCCAAAAGAAGAATATTCCTCAGATTCCTCTGTTTTATTATCTGCAACTGAAATTAATTGTAACACAAATTATACATAAAGTTTATTTTATATATGCATAGTGTGACAATGATACATTTATAAAACGAAATAGTACCATTGGTTTCAGAATTTTCTTCTTCCATCTTAGTAGCATTGGATTCCTCTGGTGTGGTAATAGATTCTTCCAAAAGCGTGAGTCCATGCGATACATGACTAGTTAATGTAGAAACTCCTGCAGTGGCTGTATCGATCAAAGAACTCACACCCCAGTTACCCCAACCCCATCCTTTGGAAGAATTCTGTGTTTCTTGTCCTGCCAATGACAGTCTCTTTAATATAGGCTGCAATTTCTCCTCTGTTAATTCCTCTGGTAACTCAATTTCATTTCCTAGACCTTCCCAACCTTCTGGTTTGAACACTTCCTTAAACTTTTTATCTGATTTCATTTCTTCTGGCATTTCTAATTCACTCAATTCATCCTTCAGTGATACCTCTTTAGATACAGCACTATTTTTTCTTGTCAATTTATCTCCTTGATTAACATTTATTATTGTATTATCTGTGAGATTATTATTTTTTGGAATTTCAGTTTCTAACTCCTCTGTGCTTAATTTTTCTTGATCTATCTCTTTCTCATCTGATGTAGATGTAGTTACCACAGATGGAAGTTTTTCATTCTTATTAAAACTTGTTTTTTCTTGCAAACTGGGATCATTTGTTGATTGTTCATTTTTTTTATAATCACACATATCTTTAACAGCTGTATCTTTATTTTCTTTAATTGTTTCTTTATAAGATTTCTTTTCATCCATCAATGTATCTGCTCCATAAAATTTTCTTTCTGCCTTTCTATTATAGTTTGTATTTGTATATGGTGTTTGAGGTACAAACTCCGTATCGTCATCAGATTCTGAATCTATCGCATTTGACACACACCACTGTTGCATTGGAACACGTTTTTTCTTAGATATGTCATGGTCCATTTCTTCATCGGCACTTTCAAAATCATCGCTCTCAGATGTTGCCATTATAGCTGACAGATAACACTAATATTACTCTTTTCTAATTAAAGGGTTTGGCAACAAAAATTAATTATAATAGTATCATCAATTTATTTTCTAGTTATATTTGAATCCTTAGTAAACAAAAATTTATATATTGCACAATATTTAAAGAATGCTCAAGCATATGCACGTGCAATTGAATACATATGTTCACCATATGATTCTCTGAAAGGATGATTTACGTGCTCTGTAAACTGTGTACAGGTTTCTGTGATATTTGAGAACAAACTACACATGCAGAAAGAACAATTTACAGCCATGGATGACGTTTCAATTGGAATAATTACTTCTGGTGTCTTTGTCCTGGGAGCACACTGAAAATAAAAATCATGAATCGTTTGTTTGTATAAAAAGTTAAACTCATTTTGCGTTTCTATCAGAATATTAGAATCTATTGGCAAGAATACTGTGGAGGTATGAAAGCAATTTCTCTTAAAAAGTGTCAAGCTAAAAAAAAATGTCAAATTGACGGTAATAAAATGACTGTACTCCAAAGTAGCTTATGTCGTAGCTCGATGTTTCTATTAACGCGCTAGTTGTTTACAGGCAGTTATCTCGCAAGAGTCGAGTGTGCAAACAGTTTTTCGCTCCACTGTAAAACGATAAGAATGAAAAAAAGAGAGGAGGTAATGAGTACTCATACCGCTCGGGCTCATGAGACATTCTGGAGGAAACGAACGACGAGACGGGGACGGATTACCATTACCATCACCATTACCATCGGTTTATCCCATCCGTTCGTCCCGGATGTTGAACGTGGTCGAATAGTCGAAGGTGGTCGAAGGCAGAAAGAACGGTCACGAGTGCACCTGCGTTCAGAAGTCGTACGGTGGTGCCGCCGGTGCAACGTAACGGAAAATATGCGAAGCTATCGAAAGAGCATCGCGTTCGTTTGTTCCCGTCGCCCTTCGTGCGCAGCGGTCAGAGACACGAGAGTTGTCGGCCAATGGAGGGGGCACTTGCAGAGAAAGATAGAGGGAGAAGGAGAAGGAGAGCGCGAAGTTAAGAGGGGATTATGTTCAGTTCTCATCGGTATACGCGTTGAGGCGAAAAGGAAGAGAGAGTGAGCGAGAAGCATTGGCAAGCGCGCACGGTGCACGGTAGAACGTCCAGTGGCATGTTACAAACACTCGACATGCTTGTAGTTGGCGCGAGGTTTTAGTATTATCGTAACGAAAGAGCAGTTTATCCGTATTTCTGGCGGTCGTGCCGATACACCCGACGAATCGTGGACTTTTCGCCGAGCCGCGTTCGATTCGAGCTGCGAATAAGCAAAAGTGTCTTGTGGTAACCGTAACAGTGTCTGTTGTGCAAGTAAAAGCGTAGTGAAATATCGCGTGGAGGGAACGCGAGGCGAATTCTGACATTTCTCCGAAGAAACGTCTTGCTCGTTGCTGGTGTCCGTTGCACAACCAGCGGAATTTTCGTGCGAGAAAGAAAAGGAAACACGGTGAAATGTGTGTTGAACACGGACAGTACCGGTATTAACGGGTCGCGAGCGTACATAGATACTATCCCGACTCGACTCGGCTCGACTCGACTCGACTCTGCTCTGAAAAACTTTCCTCGTCGTTCCTGCTGCTCGTGAATGCGACAGACTGGAACGATTTTACGATTTCACGATTATTCTTTCGAGAATTCGTCAATGAAACTTGCGCTTGGGTCGCATTTTCAAGCGATGATCGTTTATTCGCCGGCGCGGTGCCTCGAACATTTTTTCCTTGGTGAAAAAATGCACTTTTGGATGAGACGATAAACGAGAACAATCGGAATCGCAGGATGGTGTTGTAACGAGAAATTAACGCCTTTGGAGACACGCAGAGGGAACATGTAAATCGAAGTGAGCCGCAAGTGAGACGATCCGAAGGGTGAAAGTGTATTTTTATGTCGAATTCGTTCTTCTTTTCTTTCTTTTTTTTTTGATTTTGTGGTGCGAAAAGATTAATCCAAGGGCTATGTTATTTTTACATTTCCTCGCGATATTTCGTATTGCCGAGTGATCAGTGTACCTTGGAGGAAATGAACGTTACGATAATGTAACGGGCATCGATACGTGCTCTCTTACAAATGTAGGACCGCGGCACTGTCTCAAGGCAAGATACGAACAGTGGATTTTTCTTGGACGAACAGCTATGTTAACGGTGGAATTCCGCTCGAGAGGAATCTGAAGGCGGGGACTCTGACGTCACTCCGCTCATGATAATGAGGTATTCATGATGGCGGAGTAGCGCGCGCGAGCGAGCCAGCGAGAGAGAGTGAGAGGGGGACAAAGCGCAAGAGGGAGTATTTTATATACATGTACACACATATGCATACACCATACATACTTACCTTATAAACGCATTTACACGCACGTATATATATATACAGATCATAGTGTACACTATACAGGTACACTGTACACGTAGTGTACGCACGTAGCGCGTGTGTTATCTGCAACACATTCCTTCCCTCTTCCTTCCACCGTACGTCAGTGTGTATCGCGTTCCTTCTCTCCGCCACTCGAATGCTCCTCTTTGTCTCTCGCGCGTCCGCTGTCTTTCTTTCTCTTGCATCGATACAACGTGTATATGGCACGAGTAACGCGTGCTCGCGCGCACGGATATGTGCCTGCGGCTGGTCGGTGATAGAGAATTTTGGATGGATTTAGAGCGCAGTGAAATATGCCAAGGAGACGGAATGGGGAGATACCGCTTCCGGAAGGGTGGGACGTTGCGCAAGACTTCGATGGAAAAGTGTATTTCATCGATCACAATACGAGAAAAACGACGTGGATCGATCCCAGAGACAGGTATGTCATTTCATACGTACGCGTTCGGTATGCATGCGTGCCTGGGGCTCGATTTGATACACTGGCCCGCAAAAGTGCGGGGGCACCATCGCCGAATTAGTTTAACGACAAACCTACCAACGTTTGCAAACTTTCCTATATGTAGATTTCTTGCGCGCAGACTGCGGGTCTATGTGCAAATTCATATTTTGTTCGATAAAAAAGCGAGATTCAAGGATCGTAGGGGAGGTAGGGACTACGTGAAACTGTAGGTTTGTTTATAATATGGGCACTGTTCGAGGTTACTGTTTTCAGTGTAAGGCGTGCGTTTATTTTTATTTTTTTTTTTTACCATGTCAAAAAATACGAATTATCGATGGAAAGGAAAAATCGCGAGCCATAAAGTTTGTTCATCTTTGGAGTACATTGAAACAGAAAGACGTAACGGACTAGCGTCAATTTTGTTGGTTAGATGTCACAAATGTCTACCGATTAATGACATTTCAATTGATCGCAGTGTTGTCGCGTTTTCGCTACAGATAACTGCTTATCTAGAGTTCCTTTTAATATATTCTGACTATTTCAATACATCTCCCAAACATCCTTAAATGATAATCCTAACACCGTTTGCAAACTTTGGTATATATTTCTTGTGTGCAGACTGCGGAATTTTATGGAAATTTATATTTTATTCGATAAAGAATTAAGACTTGAAGGAAACACGATTATCGTCGACGTTTCATATACATTTGCATTTCTGCACATTCTCATAGATTTTCCAATGTTTTTAATTCCTATAAATGCATATATGCAGTACATGAATTATATACGATTTAAAATTAAAATTGAATTTCAAATTTTATTCGATTCATTTGCTTTATTAGAATACGAAATGTAAAATGAAGTTGACCAAACTTGATTCTCGTGTGCGAAGACTTTTGTGGGACACTGTACATACAGTGCGGGACAAAACGATAGCTCATCTAACGTTTTTGTTTATATTTAGATGTGTACGAAGGAATGTACATGTTTTGCGCAACCTATATATATATATTGCACGTCTCGTTTCATGTAAACACAGTGAAAATCGATTTTGCTGGATCATGCGTTACAAAAATTACCGAAATTAATGTAGATCGATGGAACATGACAGCGCACTATAAGCAAAGTGTTTCCACGATGAGTAAATAATTTATTAATATTTCGTAATGCCGCCTTTCTACAAAACTTCAATTAGTATTGTGGTATCAATTTGTAGACTTCTTCGATAATTTTTTTTAAAAGAAAGTTTTTTTTTGTAAAAATGTCTAATTTTCGTAGAAATATACTGTATGCTAATACGAAATTTAAGGCCTGCAACAGAATTACTTATTCTAGAATTATTTATTATTTTGTTCCACCAGTTTTAGCATTTACTTACATTTATTTTCACATGTGCAAAACTCGTCTCGCGAAATCGATTTATAGCAATGTTTATTCTATACGTGTTTAAATATAAAAAGAAAACGTTAGAACGACCTGCTATCGTATCTTTTTCTACACTGTAACTGTCAGTTGACCACGCGCGATCATCAGTTTAAAAAAATGTTATCGTTCTTTTCGGAATTAATGCAGCGTGGTACCGCGATAAAGCGTACACTCGAAAGGTAAGCATCAATCGGAACGCTAAATATTTCTGACGTTACGTTACCCTCGTGTGAGCGCTCCTTAAGTTTCTCGAGTGTGTGTATCTACTACGTGTATGCATGCGTACATTCATACAACGACTCGCCGCGCCCGCATTCCAGTCACCAGGGCCGCTGCGCTCTCCGTGAAAAAATTGAGATATCTGCTGATCAGGGTCGACCGAAAACAATACTATTTTTTTTTGTTCTTTTCTTTTAAATTGCAAATGTAAACATTGCGGTAGACGCGGAGGTTAATTCCGCGCCTTTGTAACCCGAACGTACCACTTATTTCCGAAGAAAAAGCGTACTTTTCATCTTCTCTCGGTCACACATTCCAAAAGGGCACATAATAGAATCAAATCTCCGAACAATCTGTGTGTTTCGTTCCTATCAAGGTTCGTACTTAAACGTAACAATCTCGTCAGTACATATTTCTATATAAACTAGAGTTATAAATAGTTATAAATTTTTATATATTTATAAGAGATTTGAGCGTCCAAGAACTTACAAAATGCACACGGTGTGCAATAACATAAGAAAATAGTGAAAGTATAAAGTTCATGTTATAACATTCTCAGAGTAGAATAAATTCCTATTTAGGTTCAATTTTCTAAATAGATTTGCAAAGATTTTATTTCGCATACAGATTTGCAGTTATAAATAATTATTTAAATGTAAAGACACAGAATTAATTTCTACACCTGGTAATTGTCAAGTATATTAGTAATTTGTTAGAAGAATAGATTTGAGGGGTTACCGAACCTCGAATGTGTACATAAATTGTAATGGCCATCGGGTCGAGACTTCGTATGTGTCAATTATTAAATAGAATGTACGACGATTGAATGAGATTGAAGTAGAAAGAATTTTTTAAGAATTTATAAAGATAAACATAAATAATCGATTATTAGCAAACGATGGCGTAATTCGTTAAATAGAAAGTACAACAATTGAGTTTTGAACTGAAAAATATGACCATAAATTATTTATAAATTTAATTTTCATCGAACAAATGGATACAATTATATTACAAAACTTATTCGTACGGATATTGTTCCAAGCGTACGCTGCGTCTAGATTAACATACGAGTAACCATAGCGAGAACCATCTTACGGGGCTAACCGGTATGTAACATACATTGAAACGACCAGCACCTAAAAATAGTCTCTGTTAGGAGGGTATTATTCTTTCAATTCTGATGACGTTGTTACGTTACGTATGCTTTTTCTTTTCCCTTCGCAATCTTTTTTTCTTTCCCCTTTAAATCTCGTACCACGTGTTAGTCCAACTTGTCTCGCAAATGTTTGGCCGTCGCTTGATCCCACTAACTTAGGCAACCATTTCTGCCAGCTATCGTTCGATGTATTGCCGGTACGCAGAGAAACCAATTGGGCCATAAAGGTTCGACGTCGTGCCGAGGCGCTACAGGCGCCCCAGCGATAAATCATTCGATTAGGATTAAGAAATAATCCAGTTTGAAGTGAATATAAGAGGATACACAAAAACAGGCACCGTCAGCGAAGAGATTATGTGGATAGAATAGACAAGGTGAAAAAGTGTAATGCGAATAGCAAGAGAAAAATGATTGCGTGCACGTCTGTCCTTCTCTGACGACGCATGCGCGGTTACATTAATCAGGCAACTTTGGCGGTAGAGAATTCGAATCGAGGGAAATTCCTCGGCTGTCAAATGTGTCTTAATTCTTTTTTTTTTTTGTTTTAAATTAATAAAAAAACAAATTGACACTCATCTCGCTGGAATCTAAATTTGCCTTCGTTTTCTGTATGCGGCTGTGTGCTGTGTCACGGCTTAAGAATGTATCGAATTTCCAAGTTTGGGAGTACTCTTGTCTCGTAATTCGTGTCATGGCTGTGGTTACACATGTACGCGTGTGTGCGTAATATATTACACTGTCCGTGGCCCCTCTGTTATTATTCATCCGTAAAACAGGAATCTCGCTTAAAAATGCGAGGAATTACGTGGACGTAGGACATAGGTTGTCGCGAACGGCAACTTTTTTTTTTTTTTTTTGTTTCTTAGGTTAGAATTTAATCTCTTTATAATGGTAGAATTATCGAATTTAAAGATATCGGAAGAAAATCACGCCAGAATAACTTGGATATATTTCAAGGTTTCAACGAATACAGGCGATAGAAAAGAAATAGAAGGATTTAGCGAAGCAACACCGAGCACAGGAAGTAGGCGCAGAGTAGTGTCTTTGTGCCGACTTAGGGGACCAAAAACAAAGGTCGCACACATAGCGTCTAAATGAACAGTAATTAATTTTTATTTCAATATGTTGTATCAAATGCAGAAGTGTAGATATAGATACAGCTCGTAATTAATAATTCCTGTAACGTCACAGGAGCCTCTGTAACTGGAAGTACATGTATAAGATATCTAGAAAGAGAGAACGAATGGAGAGAGTATCTCTGTTTCTGTCCAAGTTGTGTGTCCATTGGTGGGGGAAGTCATACGAATCGAGGAGGATCTGACGCTGACACTTCTCCTCAATTCGTATTTTCCCCCCACCAGTTCCTTGATGTGACTGCGCGTGCGTTGTCAGAGAAGGACAGGCGTGCAAGCAATCATTTTTTCTCTTACTATTCGCGTTACACTTTTCCACCCAACTCACCTCCTCCATCTCTATCTATGTATACAATCTCTTTGGAGAAGACTTGGATTGTTCGTGTTAACAATATCCTGGATACCTAATCTCCGAAATATCCTGTCCGCGCTCTTATCGAACGGATTGTATTCGTCCCGCCAGAGTGTAGATTAAACAAACGACCCTGAATGCGTACCGTAGACTCGGAGCAAACAAGCACGTAAGCGTGGGCATATAAATCGCGTGGGTGTCCCTCTTCGACTACCTGGCTTTGACCCAAGGGCATTACTTATGTATTAAGGAACGCGTGCACGCCGCCAGTATCGCTCATATTTTCGTACCTTTACTCGTCCAAGGTGCGAGGCCGCTTCACAATTACAGGATTATCGACAGTCACGAACAGCGACCCGCATTGTCAGGTTGAAAGTTAAACCGCATCAGGGAGGGGGGGGGGGGCAAATGTCAAGCGTTCTTCGTGATTGTTTTTCACGGAGAAGAATTTATGTTATGTTTGTATGACTTCGGTAGTATTTTAGGTATCTTTTAAACTACTTTTGGTAATATTTTTAATTTATTTCGCGCAGAGATTTTTGAAATATCAGATGTTTATATATATATAGCAAGTTTTTGTCATAATTGTTATTCGATTTTAATACAATTTTTCTTCTACGTTATTAACATATTTTGCCACGAATATGAACCAAGTTGGTCAAAAGAGTTGAAAATTGAATTTTTTTTTTTTAGGAGTGTTTAAAGAAAAAGTATCAATTTTCACATTACATAATTTCTCTGTAAAAAAAAAATATCCCAAGAAACGCTTAATACATCTTGCTTTAAGAAATTCTGGTATAACAACTGTTTCCCGACAATTGTAACGCGTCAGATACGAAAACTGTCGCGTTGACGAATCGAAAATCCTAATGATTTCTTTGCCAGGCGGGTTTCTCAATATTCGTTTTTCTTGATTACAGGTTCACGAAACCCCAAACGTTCGCAGACTGTATCGGAAACGAACTTCCACTTGGATGGGAGGAAGCATATGACAAGCATGTGGGTGCATACTACATTAATCACGTCAATCGTGCGTATTATTTTCCTTTTTACATGTGATCACGAATGATAACACATTATGCAGATTATTATTTATGTATAAATTCGATGCTGCTGTCGTTGAAATAATAGACATCCTGGAATTAGTAGAATTTCTTACTTGATGTATTGTTAAATAAACCTTTATGTTTAATTCTTTGTCGAATTCTTTAATAATTATCGCAATATGAATTGTAATACGAAATAAATTACGCATAAATAGGGTTAACGAAGAGGTGAAAAGCAACGTGTTAGTTTGTCTCGTTTGTTGGTTTTAGAAACGACGCAACTGGAAGACCCAAGACAAGAATGGCGAGCCATTCAAGAGGCCATGCTTCGAGAATATCTCCAGACAGCACAGGACGTACTCGAGGTAAGTTTTCAAAGCTCCTTCGATCGATCTTTCTTCCTGTTTAACCGTTTGCGAAGATGGGAACGACACGTTCGAAAATGCCTCCGATAGATTCGTACGCTAAAGAAAAATTGTGGCTTCGGATGTGGTGGAAGACAAGAAAGTGGGAGAATGTCGATGTATGGTATATTTATTTTGGTCGCAATACTGCTGGCATGATGTCATCGTCGATTTTCGAGATTGGCTCGTTACTCGATGCTAGTTTCGAGATTGTCCGGAAATTTCTCGACGACAGCTGCGGAAACTTCTCTCACCAAGGTGACAATCGCCTCGCAGACTAAACAAACTTTTATGCACGCTCCCAAGGAACGATTAAATAATCGTAATTTAATACAATTCAACAACCACTAATTGCACACTATGAATATTTTTTCTGTGCTTTCCGTATTACCGTATTCCATACAATTTTTAATCGCGCTAGACGATTACTTTTCAGTAAGGAACCAAAAGGTATAATTCCGAAATTGAGGCGACGATAACAATAGATTTGAATTCAGGATCAGTGAATTGAATACTTGAGAAAATTAAATACCAGGGAAAATGAATAGGCTAAACAGTTAAATACTAGAACATATGTGAAATTATTCTAAAAATTATACAAAGCATATGAAATTATAAAAAAGTGTCGTGAGTAATGTAGGTTCGTAAACGTTGCTCGAAAGAATTACCCGGCTCGCGCATTGCACACACCGACAAGCAGTTGTTCGATTACGTTTACTTTTAGATCTCAAACACGAGACTGGTATTATCTCCTGAATGTGAAACTTGCCTCGGTGTAATCTTGCTCGAAAGAATTATACAGTTTGTACGTTGCATACGCTGATAGGTGGTTCTTCGATAAAACAGGAGTCGCATTATTCGAGGACTTGTCACAAGGAAATGCGTGTGCTAGCTTCCTTCCTTGGAACCTTCACGCGTTGGTACATTCATACGTGCCACGCACTCGTAAGCACTGGCTCGAGCAGTCTTGCATTCCTATGCAAATGTCCCTCACTCCACCCCTCTCTCTGTCTTCGTTCCTCTTTCCCTCGTATCTTGTTGTTGCTCTGCACTCTGATGTAAAACTTCGTTTGTATTGCGCTTCTATTAGGGTGGCCAAAAATTTCCTTCCAAGTTTCAAACAGAAAAACACAGTACTATACCTGTACATCTGTACTATACCTAAATCTCTAACGCTAACGTTGTCCCAGCACAATTAATTACAACCAAGAAATAATTCATTTTTTGATAGACAAGTTGATAGGAGATTAACCAGAAAATTGTAGAAATCTGTGCCTGGTAAATTGATACAAATGATATGCACAACTTTTATTTGAATCCTGTTTGAAGTGAAACTTCTTTGGCTGCCGTAGAGTAAAATCGATTCATGAAAAATCTTATGTAATACTCAGCCATCACGAAATCCCTACTCTGGCATTGACGAGTGCCAGGTAGGGACACCAGAGGAGTGGGGATTCCCACTCTCTCGATACTGGTGAACTGACAGAATGAATAGGAACCATGGCACTGTTCAGCGGGATTCCCTGGTCGAATGGGGTTACTGGCGTCATCAGTGAACTGGCGCCAGTCCACGAGTAGTTCGCTAATTTCAGCTTCCAAGCCTGCAGAACTCGAAGATGACAATACGAAGCTGAGAATCGATGACGTTAATGTGGTAGCATTGTAAATAATAGTAATTATAATAATAAATGAGTGCTACCGGTGGAAATATAAATTTGGCTTTGTAACCATTTCCACTGCACGTGATAAATTGGTTCGGATAAAAAGAAAGTATAAAACTCTAAAAACTGTTAATTTTATACTTTTACGTTATCGAGCAATTTACACGTTATTGTGTACCATTGTATACTTACTCTCATAGTTCGTACATGTTCAAATTTGTCCCATCAACAATCTGAAACGCCAGCGCCATCTGAAACGTTCGCAAGTCGGCAGACACTTTTCTACATAGTTCGTCCTCTTTATTCTCTACTCTTCATAGGTTGAGCGAATCTGTCTCTAAATTCGTACGAATTTCTGTGATCGGATCTACGCTACACGCGTATCGTAAAGAGAAAAGGATCCAGCACGTAACAGATAGTTTTATCGTACACATAACGGATCGGTAAAGTAATTCCCGCTTAAATGTCCTCCAACGGGTTCGCCCGTGTACATTTATTCGAGGAAGCTGTCCGTGGCTCCCGTGTATGTACCGTTCGACGGGATCAGGAGCATCTCGTGAGTTAACCCCTACGTGTCCCCGCGCCTGCTCTTAATCAATATTCTTCATTACCCTTAATCTATTAGGTGTAGAAATTAATTCCGTGCCTTTACATTCAATCGTTTGTAATTATAGTTTTGGTAAAAATATTTATTCGACATTTTGTTAAGTTAAATTATTACGTATGCACCATTCCACTTGTAAAAAAAAACATGGTACCGATAACAAAGTTCTAGTTTCCCCTTTTACAGTCTATCCCTGAACCTGAGACAAAGTAAAAAGGATCGGTTGTAACGCGTCATACTATCATGTAATGAAAATAATTTATAAACTAAACATCGTAGAGGATCGCAGACTCCGACATTTGGCTTCTCTAATAAATTATACTAAATAAGAACACTGTCAACTTCCAGCGCCACGGAAATCGTAATCTTATCATTTTAATCGAATGACGCTTATATATACACGCGACAAGCACACTGGCAACTCACTAGCGTCAGTAGTTTTTCCATGGGAATGTAACGAAAAGAGAAATTCCACGTGCAATGATGACTGACATCAGTCGACTGACGCTAGTAACCATTCCACTTGGGAACCCCCGTTGAACAGTGCCGCGATTTCTATTCACTTCGCCAGCTCGACAGCGTTTAAGGAGTGGGGATTCCCACTCCTGCATTACTCTACTGGTGTCCCTACTTGGGACACTCCACACTCGTCGCTCGTCATGGCCAGATAAGTAGGGATTTCGTGACGACCGAACGCTACATAAGATTTTTCATGAACCTATTTGCTCTAGCCAGGGGTAGTTCACTTTAGAGACCCTCTAATCAGTCGCGAAATAACTTTGCCCCATTCTGATTGGTCGCCGCCATTTTTCAGCTGACAGAGGGCCTTACGAACCTGATGTAACGTATATTTATTCCACTGACAAAAATGACATTCTCCAACGTGCTAAAATTAAAACACTATTTTCTTCTAATTTCGCGGAATTAGCTAAAAAATGACGAGACCCAACTTAACCTTGACATTATTTCGTGACTCGTATCAGAGTTAGAGGGTTCCTGTGATACGTATGTTTGTTATTGTACTTATTAAAATTGATTACGAGGAGAGTAGGATGTTCGCTCGTGTGGCATTCGACATAGCGTGGGCTGGGTTTAGGACGATGATATCTTGGTATACGAGCAAGAGACGAGCGAGCAAAGCAAAGCAAAGCAGGCAAGCGGCAAGCTTGCCACGAGACATTGGAATGTCTCCCGCCCATTCGAACCTTGTACCCCTTCCTTCGAGATTCCCCTACTTTGCTCCTCCGTGTACTGGCTTCTACCAGTGACTTCCCTCCTTTTGACCTTCTTCTCCCTTCATCCAGCACAGCTTCTTAAGGCGCATCCACATATTCGGCTACTTTTCAAATATCGGACGCTCGACAAACATTTCCCTACTAACTTCTGGCTACTTGACGATTCCTTAACAAAATCTTGACGCTCGTGTGCACAGGAATGCAGAAAGTACAGCGTTTTACACGATTCGATAGGAACAAAGTATTTTTTAATTCATGGTAATTCAAGTGTCCATCATCTGCGCTGCTGCAGTAGACGATTGCGGCAATTGGAACGCAACTTGTGTCTAGGAATATTGCAATTGGAAAGCACCCTCAGTGCCGTGTAGATAGTATATGGAACCGAGGTATTTCCATTTCCATTCCCACTGATGTGGTAATGGTTTGATACCTATCTGAAAGTTATAGAAACAGAAAGCTGTTAAAGTTTATCATTTTTAACTCTATCTTTATGAAACTATAAGAACTACCTTAATCTGGTGATGAGTTGTATGAGTTTTACCCAACTTTGCTGTTCCCTGTGATTGTTAACAATATCTAGAATGCTCAAAGTTGATGGTTCGAAATTTTAGCGTCGTATTCCCATTCAACACGGTGCGTCGTCCAACAGGTTGTGCAACTCTACGTACACTTTACAATGATTGCACGAAAGATCCTTACGCCTGTGGCCGCTATAAGGCGCGCAGTCTCTACACTAAAATTTGAATGCATCTCGAAGAAAACATGCCAGTTTCAGCACGTCTTTCGTCCTCAGTTCTTTCACTCAATCTCTCTCTCTCTCTCTCTCTCTCTCTCTCTCTCTCTCTCTCTCTCGCTGTTCTCTTGTCCTTCCATATCTTTCCTTTTTCTCTTCTCGCACCAGGCGACCCTTTTGGCGTAGTGGCTACCAGTGTTACGCTCGTAGAGGCCCCAAGCGATTCACGATGGATCCACGAACATCCACGAGAATCCCCGAGCGTGCCCTACAGCGCACAAGCGGATGTGCGACTGTCCTTGTCCTTCGATATTCGTCCATTGGTTGACAAGATGCGCCACGGGGCTGAGAACCAACCAACACGTCAATGCAAAGGTTAAAGACTAAGGCAGTTGTTCCGTGGATGTTGTTAACAAAACTTTAATAATTTCAATTTAAATTGACCACCACAGTTTTATGAAAAACTATATCAAAATTTTGTAATTTTAATACAGATCTTTACGGAAGATTCATGTTTTCACGTGAAATCTGTTGTTAAAATTTATATAACCCGCTCTATGCTTCTGATTAGAGTAGTTGATTATGGAACCGCTAGATAGTATTAAAATTGGGCGAAACCCTAGATTACCATCACAATTGAAGTTTGCTAATATTGTATCTCTTATTTTTCTCTTGAACATTTTCCAAAGAAGACACCTATCCGAACCAATATCGTCAAATTTGAAGTAATCGTAGTCTAGGATCCTATATCCAAGTAAATCCTTAAAGTAATCCCAGCCTAACTCTATCCCACGTATCTCTAAAACTTCCAGCGGCAGCGCCATGCGTAGGGTCTCGGAACTTACTCGTTGCGAGATGAAATGCAGACGATCTAACTCTTTCGCTCGAGTATTCCTATCCATCCAAGTAAAATTCCCTCGAACGTGTTTATTCCGGCGTTAAAGGTTCGCGGTGCAAGTATTTTCATTGATGTCAGGCCTCCGAGGAGGTTGCTCGCGGAACATTTAACGCGAAATTCTCACGTGAACGCTGGAAAGGATTTGCCTCGGAAATACCGTAGAGGAAAATAGAGAGTGCTGTAAGGAGCACGATCGGCCTTACGGCGTTGTTGCTCGCCATTTGCCAGCGTAGCTTTTCACATTCCTACGGCTCTCTTCCAGGGGCAAACAATGTTAACGACCACGCGAAGGGATCAGGATTCCATCTCTACCGGGCGATACACAAATAGGCTTACGCTTTTGCTCCGCAACTATACATATACAGGGTGTCTCTTGTACAAAATCTTTTCTTAGAAATTAAACAAGATACGCAATTCATTTTTTATACAATTAAACGATACAACGTTGTTATCTTAATTTTTTGATACTCGACAAAATTTTCTTGGCTGACTTCTAGAGGGAAAAGGGAGACATGTAAATTTCTTTTTTTTAATGGTAGGTGATATTAATTTTTTATTTTAATAACCATTATAAAACTGAATTACAGTAATTTTTGTTGATTTTTTTATCTTCAAGCCAAGAACTATAATACGCAAATAAAATGTTTAGTGCATTAATTTGACACAAAATTAGCTTCAATTTCATATTGTTTTGCGTGATTTTCGTGAAATGTCCTAAAATGATTATGGAGCAAAGGCGTGGGGAGAAGAGAGGAGGTTGCAGTGGCGAGTGCTGCTGATATAAATGGAATGCGACTCCATTATCATGGTGTACATACCGATAACTCGATGTCCCGTTGCCAAGGAAGGTATCTGTGGATGAAGCAAAATCTCTTAACTTTGTAGCAATGGTATTGTTCGTGTACGAATAAGTTTTTCGAAATGTCAAAGGTGGGAGCAGAACGCAATTACTGTTTAACCATCGTAATAAAATAATACCCGAGCCAATTTAAAATGGTCTACTGACGTCGTTGCTCGAAAAGAATAATTTGTTAAATAGAAAGGGATAAATGTATAGACAGAGTAGTGGAACAGAACTACGGGAAGAAAGAGAAAGAAAACCGCGGAACCCTGTCTGTCTTTGTCTAACATCGCATGCACATGCGCACGGTTAACTCTTTATTAAATTCAATTCACTCATCTTTCAATTATTTTCTTGTAATATTTCATAGTTACTAGTGTTATACAATCTATAAATTGTATAAATGCGTAATGTACAGATTTGATTCATTTTTACGTCGCATGCGTTAGTAGACAGAGATAAATGGAGTACTAACGCTGTTTCTCTTCTCTTTCTAACGTTCGGACGGACCTATATAACTCAACAGCCAATGGTAGTTTGACTTTTATAGCGCATGCGTTAGTAGACAGAGATAGATGGAATACTAACGCGGTTTCCCTTCTCTTTCCAACGGTGGGACATTTCCATTTACAGGGATATTTACAAATCACGATCAACCTAGTGGCTAGAGCGTTGGATTCACACGCTGTGGATCGTGGGTTCTCGTATCTCGTCAGCTGCAAAATTTTGAAACTGTACATTTTGACGATTAATGTTACGAAAACCAAGACCCTATGAAAGCTTCGAAGCTTACGATTATTCTTACCTACAGAATAAACGTCTAAATCCCGATAGAAATTCACGAGCCCATAGATGCGATGTCCCTTTGTAAATCGCAACGACACGATACGACGCCGACGTTTCGCAGTCGATCGAGCTTGGCGCTTATTCGCTAGAAAACCTCGCGAATGCGCTCAATTATCAAGCACCGCGGGCATTCCTGAATAGATCTACGCGCATAGTGGTTTGACACTGGCTTTGTAGATACGTGTATGTATACCTCTCTTTTATCTCTTCTATGAACGGCGCACTATAAAAGGGGCTCTCACTTGGTGCGGAGTTCCGCGGACCAGCGCTCAGATAAATATGCGGGAGGGGCCGGAATTCCTCACTCGGCTGCATTCCAATCCCTCCTTCTCTACCATCTCACCACACTACCACCACCACCACCACCACCACCACCACAATCGTTATTTGCAGGTTCTCCACTCTGTATTCTACTATTACTACTACTATCGCTACCACACAGTCACTAATACCATCGCCACCACTGTCATTACTATCGCTATTCTTACTACATACTATCGTTACTACTACTACTCCTGACACTATTACCATTATTAAGCGTAGAAATTAATTCCATGCTTTTTGATTCAACGATTTATAACGTAAATTTAAGTGGAACGCACGGTCTGTAAATTTTATGGTTTTTTTCTAAACGAATAGATGTTACATTTACCTTTGCAGAATTCATTTCCACCGCGTAAAGTGAGAAATGAGACAAGCCGAGAGTGAACGTGTCGGCTAGTTGAGCACAAACGTTTGTTAAGTAGCATAACATAATTATTACGTTGCGAGAAACAATTTGTTCCACTGCCTAACAGCTTCTAATGATATTGAAAATACATTTGTAAAGTTACAAAGAGTTACGTTTATTCGTACGTGATAAGAAATGATGAAAAGCATCAATTTTGAGGTTAACTTTAAGGACACTTTAAGGTCGTATGTCGCGTGAGGGTCGAGAAAAATGTACCGAGACGAGAAAACGCGGAAAGGGAGGAGCCGAAGCGGAAGAGGTTTTGGGACACGGCTGTGGGGTGAAAAGGGCTCGATGATTCGTCGGGGAAAAAACGGAATGATAGATACATAGTACAGGGAGATGCGAGGATAGAAGGTAAAAAGATGTTGGCTGGCGGAGGTGAAGTACGAAGAAGGAAGAAGAGAAGGCGGTGGATGTAGAAAAATAAAAGGCTCTTTCCGCAAGGCGAGCGAACCGGCTCATACTCGATAGCATCTGCGGAGCCAACAATAATAGTGTGGACCGAGAAATATGCGCTTGGGGCTCGGGGATGGGGTCCTTTGGCGGATTTAGGGTGGTGAGGTGGCACGGAGGTAGAAGAAAGTGCCATGGAGGGGAAAAATTCTCTGCCGCATAGTGATGGAAGCAAGCCGATACTTGTCATTTCTGAACAACTCTACCTCTCGGTCCACCCCTTCGGCTACAATTGTTTCAAACTATTCGTATCCGTGAATTGTTACATCAAAGTACTACCTTAAGTTTGAGGAATTTCTTCGATAGACATAGAAACGTACGAATACTTCTGGGTCTGATTGTATAATATTTTGTAACTCATGGAACTACAAAAGCATGCAATGTTATCTCAATGAAAGACAAGGAAGTATCCCTTGCAGAAAGACGATTAATAGCCTAGTGTTAATATAAACGTCTCTATAAGTTGGCTGTAATCTGACCACGTTTAATTACGCTAATCGATACATCACAGGAACTTGTTAACACTTTACGTACTTCTAGCCTATTTACAGGCTTTCCAATTCCAGAATCTATTTGCAGGAATTAATTTACCGTGTCGTTATTGTCTAATTGCAATGCACTTCACAGAATATGTATACACGAATATATCAAAGTACACATAAAAATTTCGGGTGAAGTTGGTAATATCCGAAATAAAATCTTTGCAAACGTATCTCCAAAAATTGAACCTAAATAGGAGTTTATTTTACTCTGCAAATATTGTAATATGAACTTTACTTTCTCTACACACTCAAATTTCTTATAAATGCATCAGTATCCGCAGTCTAATTACGACACATGCATTCCTGAGTAGATCTACACCCATAGCAGTTTGACCCGTGGGTCTGTAGATCTCTTTTTCGATTCTTCCGTAAATGAGGCATGTAAAAGAAGGAAGGAAAAGGAACGAATTCGATTTCGAATAGAATTGCTAAAAAGAAATTGTAGCCGTTTTGGATTTCCACTGGATAGTATGCAGAAAGGAGGAGAACTGACACCATCGCTACCATCGCATCGCGGCCATTCCGAAGGAGAAGGGACATACATATACCAAGGCCCATCGGGCCCGCTCTTAGATGTTCAGAGACACGGATGATGGGCCAGTAGTGGCCCCAGAAATTCCAACAAGGACGAAGCATAATGCGCGACTCAAGGTCGGTTCTACTACCGACCAGAGTCCGTGATGGAACCACGTTCAGCAGGGTCGTACCGTGACCTCGCCAGGCCCTCCTTCCCCTCTTCTCCCACTTTACAACCCCCTAGTCCATCCCCTCTTTTCTTTCCTTGCAAGCTGAGCTCCGCCAACGGCAGGGCCGTCGACTCCCCTCGCGGTGCCCCGCGACTCGAGCCTCGCGACATTCCTTAGTTCTCGACTTTCAGATGGATGGAAAAGCTTTACGCTCTTCCAGGCCGTAAGCTTCGCTCAACGATGAATAAGAAACCGTCGACTGGACTTTTATATTAGAATTATTATTGCTTTGTCCCTTTCGCGTTGAAGAATTCTCCGAAAATTACGAGTCAACGAATGGAATGGAATTTTCTATCGATGCAAAAGAAACGGAGGAGGGAACCTTGGACCTCCGAAGACCCAAGGTTCTAAAGTATACATCTCGTAAACATTGATCGTTCGTATTACAATTAGCTAATTTCACAAGGAATCGAAAAATCTGACAGGAGAAGCAAAAGGAGGAGGGAGTCGTTCCCCGTTGCGACGGCCCTGCGTCCAGATGAGGCCCGCCTTTTTACAACGGGCAAGAAAGGCCGTAGTGGTTGAAACGAGACGAACGAGAAGAGTGTGGAAGGAGCAGACGGAAAGAGAGGGCAGGAGGAACGCATGTACGAGGAGTCAGCCCGTATGTGGTCGAGCGAGGAAGAGGACGAGACTGGAGAGGAAGGGCCGAGAGAAGGAGAGAAATAGAAGAATAAAAAAGAAGGTTGTTAGATGTGGTGGGGGAAGAGTAATAGGTAAAAGCAGGATGGAAAGGAGGAGGGAAGGAAGAGAGAATCGACCGGGTGGTGCAAGAAACGAAGGAAGAGAAGCCAACAAGAGGAAAAAAGGTGGGATACCTTAAAAATTGAGACCCACAGAGGTGGGGATTGGAATTTCGGGCCCCGTAAACCGGCCAGTCTCGAGGAGGCCTTCGCGAAGATGAGGTGAGGAGAAGAGAAGATACACCGAAGAAGAAGAAGAAGAAGAAGAAGAAGAAGAAGAAGAAGAAGAAGAAAAAGGAGGAGGAGGAAGAGAAAGAGTAGAAGAAGAAGAAGAAGAAAGGGAAAAGGAAAAGAAGAACAGGAAGAAGGAAGAGACAACGACGACACGACACAACCATAACAACAACGACAACAATAATAAAAACACCGAGTAGCAATTACAACAGCGATAACAAACGACACTGTGTACTGTGTTTAATCTAGCGTGTACTCGGTATGGACCGTCAGTGCACGCTCTGCGTACTCGTACCGGCGTACCAATACCGTACCTACGTTGACAATTACCACCAGCGCTTAGAGCACCAGTGGCAGCAGTACACCCACCGACAGCGTTTGTGCGAGCATCCCTATCAAGAGGAACAGCTCTACGAAAACGTCGTCTCCCAGTATCGAATGAAAATGTGCTATCACAACGATTACGAGAACGACGAGCAAATACAAAAGTTTTACTGGGAGCAGTGCTATAAACACGACGACGTCGACGCCACTGCGTACTATTATTGCGAATATGTAAGGCCTTGAGAATTCCTTTTCTTTACGGTCTCTTTCTTTTTATCTTCAGTAAGGTTCAAATGGAATTCGAGCTGCAACCATTGCCATCCACGTTTGCCATTTTTCCAGTTCTCTAGTTTGTGCTGACAGTGTTTTTCACAGTTTTTCAATTTTAAACAAAATCTCTTAAACACGTGCCTATTTTATACTTCGTTTTTTAATATAAGAAATGCAGCACGAGGCTGTGATTGTTTCCAAAGGAGATTTCAATTTTTATCGACATATTTCTCTCCTTTGTGCTCATGCATCGATATTCAACAAGTGTCAATTTCTGAAATCAAAGCTAAATTTTAGTCTCTGCAAATGGTCTCTGCTAAGACTTCTAAATTCAGCTTGTTGTACCACCCTTAATCTGTTAACTTTAACATGAATAATTTTTGTGGTATTCTAAACTATACACAATTACAAACCTTTTCCATTTCTGTTATAGGCAAAGAAGGAAATCTATGATGTGAAGCAACAGAGGCTCTGTCTAGCGCAAGATGAGTACAATCATCTTAACAATGCTCTAACAACTCTAGGTGCATCGCGTACTAGTTGTAAGTATATTACATTTCTTATTTCATCCAGAGACTAATAAATTAAATGAACCAATTGTGACATATTTGTTCTATTCTCAGTGTGCTCCAGTTCAAGTTCACTAAGCACCAAGTACGATCCTGATCTTCTCAAGTCCGATGTGGCACTCGCGAGAAGTCGAGTTTCTCGACTAAAACGAGAACTGGAACAGATCAGAGCAGAAATGAACTGCACGCAACGAGGAGTAAACACCCTTGCAAGGTATTGCATTGATTTTCATATTTGGAAATATGTTTTTACTATTCTTGCGATTGACGACAAATTCTAAAGTGAACTTCTTCTCTCGCACAGCGTGGAGCAAAAGCTAAGCGGACACCATGGAGGCTGTTATAACATCACAGAAGCCCAGGCAATTATGACAGAGCTACGTAACATACAAAAATCGTTGAGTTCAGGAGAGAAGGAAAAAGCTGAATTGATGCAGTCCCTGGCACAGCTTAAGGATGAGTTAACGAGATTGCAGCTCTGCGAAGGTAGTCCCGAGGCTAGCACGCTCAGTTTACCCCAAGAGAAACTCAGCACGGCGTCTCAAACGGATCTGTCAGGTGAATTGGTACCGATTGGCACTCGTTTAGCTGAGATGGCGCGAATGAGGTTACAGTACGACGAGGCAAGAAAGAGGATACAGCACATTCAACAGCAATTGGCGGATCTCGAAGAAAAAGTGACACCTGGCCAGACGGAAAGCGACAAAGATAAGCTATTGCTTTTCCAAGAGAAAGAACAATTACTCCGAGAACTCAGAAGCATTACGCCGCGTACTAGAACACAGCAAGATATGAAGAAGATCCAAAGCGAGATTCGTCGACTGGAACAAGACTTGAATAACGCGCTTGAATTGTCGAATAAAACCATCACCGACCGTGTGCGGCTTCACGAAGAGAAACAATTGTTACTGCAGCAATTGAGAGACGCCCTGCGTTCGATGGCAATGCTCGAAGGTCAATTAAAGACACTCAGCGCGAGCACACTTTCGGTGAGCAGCAGTTCTAGTCTTGGAAGTCTCAGTACGACCAGCAGTAAAGGCTCTCTGAGTTCTGGATTGAGTTTCACCGACATTTACGGCGGACCGCAGTGCTTGGGTCCCGTTACTTCGCAACAAGAACGTCCAGTTGATATGGTGGATCTACATAGACGCGTCGAGAGATTGCTCAGAGGTTCCGAACAAAATAATCTCGTTAGTACACCATCGCCTGGTAGGTCTCAGCCAAGTCTGTCGCCAAGATCCAGCCTTTCCAGCGTCAGTCCTCCTGTTTCGCCGCTCTATGAAAACGCTCCCATGGGACCACCGCCTGCCTACGAGCACATAGAAATGCAGAGGAGACAGCGTCAAAGAGCTTCAGCTTCTTCTATCGTTCACCTGGATGAAAACCAATTGGAGGATCGATTAGCAGAGCTCAGGCTCAGTCAGCAACAAACGCCGTCGCAGGAACAGTCGTGCAGCAGCTCCCAAGACCGTCTCAAACTCGTCGGTGGCCCTCATCCGCCCGTCGAACTGCAGTCAGGAAATATGTCCCAGGGGAGCGGACTTGGCAGGCCTGTAGCTAGTATACAGCATCAAGTTCCGTCGCAAGAGCCACCACCTCTCTCGCCTATCAGCGAGACACCACCACCCACTGAAATACGATCGAGAGCTAGTAGTTCAGGCACAAACACCAGGTCCGTTTCAGCAGCTGTCTCGGACGAAAGCGTCGCGGGTGATTCAGGAGTCTTTGAAGCCTCCAATCGAAGAAGACTTTCAGGAGTGATCGGAGACGTTGACTCGTTAGCGCTTGGAGAGATGAGCTTGGAGACGGCGCAGGTCCAGATCAAGCTTAGGTTTGTTTCACTTTATATCCATAGTCTTATTTCTTACCTTAACTATTTCAACCTGACTTTGTTCTTTGTATTCTATTCGTTTCTCTTTTACAAATTAATTGTATTAAACTAGAATTGGCTTTTTTAGATACTCCGTAAGCGACGGTCTACTTCATGTTGGTATCGAACGTGCACGAAACCTGGCTGCACTTTTTATTCCTAACAACACGCAAGTGTAAGTATTTCAGTTTATTATTTGTTATTATTCTTCAGCTATAAGTGCAATTAATGCCTATAAAGAGTCCCTCCTTAATGTCTGTGCTTTAGGGAAATAACAGTTATCTTTTCGTTTTTATTTAGGTACATCAAAGCTGCATTGCTTCCGATGCAACCACCTATTAATCACATGTGTTGTACAAAACCTGTCGTGGATTTGCACAAGCCAACCTTTGGTGAAACGTTCCCCATTGCTGTACCACTCAACAAACTGTATACGAAGACACTGCAAGTTAACGTTTGGTGTACAGGCAGTGAGTCTGAGGAGTGCTTGGTACGTGATTATTCCTATTATTTCTTTCATGTAATTCTTTAATAGTACTAGACACGTTCTTCATAGTTGAGACTAATTGGAATGATCGACTAACTGTTGTACATTTTTATCACTGTTTCAGGGATCCGCCCAAGTATCCCTTGCAGACTTTAGTCCAGAATTGCCAAGCGTGAAGTGGTACAATATACTGTCCTTCCGCTTCATGCAACCACCTGACAGCCCAAGCACGAGCACTGGCAACAGCACCACTGTCTGCATCAGCATAGCGAAACAAGCCAAACACGATAAACAAGAATCTGATATATCGGTGTATCGTAGCGGGCAAAACATTAAGGAGGAAAGCAGCGACGAGAGTACAATTATCAGTTCTCAGACGTCTACCTTGACGAGAAACCAAGGCTGCGACGAGCTACAAACAGCCATCTCGTTGAGGCTCGAGGAGTTGGCCAATTGCTTGGGAAGTCCCGAGGAAGAGGATGAAAATGCTGGTAGTGAAAGCGGAAGCGACGACAGCGACGAAGAGGGAATTATTGTGGAATTCATGATGGAAGATAACGTTTTAGAAGATGTATTAGAGCACGAGGTACTATTTCAGTTTTCTTCCAGATTAATTATAGTTTCAATACGCTTCGTAACTCCACAATTTTTGTAGTTTTTCATGTAAATATAATAATAATAATAATAATAATAATTCATAAATATTAATAATAGGAGGATGAAGAGTTACACGAGGAGGCCAAACAAACGCAGGATAAGGAAACCAACACCGAATGTATTTTCATCCCAGAACAGGGAAAACAAAGGAAATTATCAGCGGCTGGTGTCGCGCCCAATGCTATATACGACGATAGAAATTCTATTGTAATCAAGAGGAGCCAAACATTTTCACCTAGCGCTGCAGTTAGCAAAAATCATTATATTTGTCGAGTGAGTAGTGATGATCTCTTTAAGGGGTAACACTTGGACGTTGTCCCTCGTGTTTACCATTTGATTAATTTGTTGACTTTTCTGCAGCTCAATCGGAGCGACAGCGACAGCAGCATGCCACTTTATCGCAGAGGCGGACCCTTCCAACGAAACTCAGTGGAAAGACGGTCTCTTCGATGGCGACGTCCTTCGTCCGCGCTTAGTTGTAAAACAGCCACGAAAAAAGGCACCAATTTACCACCCACTGCTAGAACCTCGTTGGATCTTGAATTAGATCTTCAAGCGCAGCACGCTAGACTGAGCAATCTCCAAGATGAGCTCACTCGATTGCGAGAACTGAAGCAAAGGTTAGAACAAGCGCGAGAGAAAGGAGACACCGATTTTGCAACTTGGCTGCTGGAAGATCACAAGTTCCAAAGCTTTATGGCACAAGCCGAAAGCGGAAAGAGCGGGAAGACTGCTGAGGATAAAAGAGTGGAAAAGATGTTGAAGAGGACCTCGAAAGAAATTTACAAGCTACGGAAAACGAAAGCTGGAAAGGGCAAACCTGACATCATTTCTTTCAAGTATGTATATGACATATGAAATATTTTAATATGAACTTTATTTTCAATATTTCGTTCTACTATTGCATACTACATCTTATCCTACAAATACTACAAGTCAATGTTAATTTTGTGTTTCAGGGAGAAAATGGCTTTCTTCACGCGTGTCAATCTCAATGTTCCTGTACTTCCACCCGAAGATTCATCGTACGAAAACGTATCATTGCCACCTCTGTCATTCGTCCAACACAAGAGATACGCCTCGGAGCCGATTAGCAGTGAATCCGTGGCTACTAAACTTGGTGCTCAGGGTATGTCGAATGTGGCCACATGGTCGAATAGTGTTCCCAGCGAGAGTGCATCCTCGATGAGAGGCTACGGTGCGGTAAACATAAACGCGAGTGTCGTTGGAAATTTAAGCGAAGATATTCTGGCCAACAGTACAAATAAATCCGTGAACGCGAAAGGTCGACCTGCCGTGGCGAAGCTGCAGTGCTCCGAAAACGGTCAAGTCGAGACCTTGAAATCAACAGAGGAGAACGATAACGAAGAACCAAGAAGGTACGAATACGTCGTCGACAGAGTTCTCGGTGTAGAAGTATAATGTTCATGTTTTAGGCTGTCTTTTTATTTCTATCAAGAAAAAATCGTTTGTATTATTCAACGGTTAACACTTTAACTACTGTTGTATTTAGAAAGAGTTTACAACTTGAAAGTGGACTTTAAATTAATATATATTGATCTAGGCTGACGTTAACTGGTGTACACTATCGCAAAGTGTATCGAAAGCCTCGTCTGTTTCCTTAATTTGAGAACCGTAAGTACAGTGCAAAGTCCCTAGTTAAAGTGTTAACATAAAGTGTTGATCGACACCGCGCTTAGATGAAATTTAAAGAGTGGAAATGAAGGAAGGGATGTTCTAGATGCCATGTATAGCGATCGATGAAAATAAAAGTGAACATTAAACGAAGTACATTTTAACGGAATATGGTAGATACGTAACTCTAGTACGTCTAGTACGTTAAATGTTGTTAAAGAACTGCTGTCGATATTGTTATTATTACTGAATGTCGACACGATGCCGTGAAAAATGTAGACATATTCGAGGCAATAGCAAAAATGCGCGAATCAACGCGCACTGTACATACGAGAACGTAAATTATTTAAATGAAATTTATGCAGAAATTATTTAATTGATCAATTCCATCGGGTTCCTCTTGCATCCCAGATAATCCTACGCATATCGCTTTGCTCCTTTTCACCGCGTATCAGAGCACACACCACCGAGCAGCTGGACTGCAATTTAAAAAACAATGAGAAGAAAAAGAGAAAAAGGCAACGCAGAGAAAGGCTTTCGCCCTGGTTGGCTAAATTCTGCCTTGATTTCATTTCATATTACCATTTCACGACGTGTTCCTATCCAGTTTCAAATTTGTCTGTGCTTCTCAACCAAATACTGAGAAATACCACTCGATGTCCTTCGGTTTGGATATTTCGCTTTGATTAACGCTAGAACTGCCAATCTATTTAATTACACCCACGTACCACGGACTTCCTCTTACAATCTGTTGATTGTAAACAATGATTTTGTCGTAACATTTATTGACAATTTGTGAAGCGTAGAATTAATCGTATCGATTTGCTTCTCCATTCTCTAATATTAAAGACATCATAGCACGTATAACAAATATGTGGTAATTCTAGTGTTAATAAAGCTCACGTCAGAGTATGTTAATTCTGACTCATACGTGTATAAATACATACGTATGCTCTAATTTCTTTATCAATTGAAAGAAGGATCACGTGTACTTATAAACGATAAAGAAAAATACATTGGATATTTTGTATTAGTATCGCAATTCTTAAGGTGCAGAAATCATTAAAATAAGGACCATATATATATATATATGGTTGAGTGAGTGTACCACTGAGCAAGGGGGGAGTGTGTTTGTGTATTTTTTTTTATCAAAAAATGATTGTAAATCTAAACGATTGAAAATAGATTTTAGAACAACATTTCGTATCCAACGGTGTGTTGCAAAAATAAAACGAGTTCCTTCGTTGAAGCGAAATTCACGTCATAGCAATACTTGTACAAGAAAGACATACAATCGTCTGTGCGGTAACACGTGTGTTCTTAACGATTAACTTGAAATTAGCGAACAAACAAGTATCGCTAGGATTTTCTGTAATGCAAATAAAAATGTTGGAACAACGTCATATCGTTAATGCCATAGGTTGTAAGAATGTAATTTTCGATGTTCCGAATGTTATTTTGTACGCGCATATCGAGGAACCTGATAGGAATTGGTTTTTTGGGGGAGTAGTAAGATCTTCGAGACAGTTATGTAAATAATTTTGTACATATGCAACGACAATCATGTTTACACGTTTACGTAGTATAAATATATAAATAACAGATATTGGGGCTCTCACAGCCTGGTTCTTCACGGTTGATGCTAAACGAGGCTTCAGGGTACTCTGTGTCCTTTGTCTTGCAGCTAGCTTCCTCGGAAGGTCTAACGATATAGTGGTATATCGGTGCAGACCTAACATACCCTAACAAATCTAACATAGCTAATCTAATAATCTCATAGCTAATCTGTTTGTAAATACAATTTAACTCTGTATCAGCTCATCTATCTGTCAGGTGCTAAAATACCTGGACACAGCGCTATTTGTAAGAATACCGATTAAAAATCAGATGTTGCTTTGCGTTGGGGTAGAGTTGGGTCTGCACCGATACATCGCTATGTCATTTAATCTCCAAACAAGATACTGTCGAAGAAGAAGATTACTGTCTTATCCAAAGGACATGGTGTACACCCAGAAATCTTAATTAATATCAACCAGCTAGATACTAATTACACACTTATATTTAAATAGGTTTCCGCGTACGCACGCGTACGGAAACTAATTAGTTCCTGAAAATGAGATATTTTCATGGCGACAAACGGGTACAACACAAGCAACGTTTTTATACTTCTGGTGAAACGAGAACACGAATTGATTTTATGTAAAGGTTACACTGTTTTTAAGCGCAGGGTCACGCTTTAACGTGGGCGAGTCCAAGAGCCCCTAAAGCTCTGGAGTTTAAGCGCCGTTCCTCTACATTGTCCTCTTGGGATGCACATTATTTACAACAGATTTTCCCTGCGTTTTGTTTATCGATTACGCCACGTAGAAGGGAAGGAGCCTTTAACGAATTACTCGCCCACGTTAACAAATTGCGTTGGTACCAGTGTATTGTTGTTTTACTGTGTTGAATCAAATGTTATAACGACAACGTTATCGACGATGGGGTGGATAATAACGACAATAAAACGATGTTGGTACTACTGACGAGGATAACGACGATGCAACGATGATAATGATAAAATGGCGACAATGAGCACGATAAAATACGAAATATGAACCCATGGTACTGATATTGCTAAGAATTATAATAATGGTAATAATAAGTTCCCAATGACATATACACATACATGAACACGTACATCCTCCGAAAGACAGTATGACTTGCAAGTAATGATAATGATTAAATAGTAACGATTCGTATGATAATGATTAAAAGAAAAGAATACAGTATATTCTTGCCATATAATTTGGTATTTCGAGTTTCTTTTCTCTAATCTTTAACGATGAACATGTTCCTTTGCATTCCTGAACCTTTTCGCATCGAATAGTAGTAAATGGTACAACTGGGATAAGTAACGATCGAAAGAATCAAAATATAAATCACTGGGTGCATTTAGTGGAAACAACTGTTGAGTAATTCTCCTGAATTTTCTATTTTCTGCTGAATGCTTCATTAGGCAAACAGAAGAATTTAATGTATCTTTGGATTCACATTACTAGTGTTCATTTTATTCTGTACAGTTTCTTTGTATTCGATAAATACTAACATAAATCTACGCAAGACTGAATTTAGGGGTCGAAGGCCTGGCGCTGAGGATCGATCCAAGGTCATCTCAATAAGGAAAAGGTAAAGTTAGTGCTATTAGGAGTATTACTCTTGAAAGGATTTCTCCAAGAATTATTTAATTTACTTTGTGGTATTAATATAGTATCAATCTCTTTCAATATTGGGAAAAAATAAGTAGAGTACTAATATTAATAAATAGTACTTTCATCTTTTAAGGGGAAATTGTAATATTGGAATTTCTACTTATGTATGCTTCATTAAATACATATTCCATAGGAGGAATACGGAAAATTAGAAGACCATTTGGCGAATGAAGATAGGAGAATCAAATTATAATGCGTATTAGGTGCGACAATAAAAATAAATTTTCAAAACAGCCTTGTTATTCTTTCTAATAAACTTACTACACACTTTATTATGCTAACCAATTAGTCTTAAGTAATGAATGGGATACATCATTGCCCCAGAGGAACGAGTAAGTATCACAATTGTTAAATAATATGGTTTATTATTCATAAAATTCATTGCATTCATATTTTGATATATATATAGAAACACAAACGCCAGTTAATGGACACACAAATGGTATCGCCATCTAGCGGCGAGGTCCGAACTAATTTTCAGACCGTTTTGTTAAAAAACCTTAATTACGTACTTTTCTCTGTATATATATGTTATCTTACATCACAATTATCATTATTCAACATTTAATTGTTTATTTGTACACTAATAATTGATTGATATTAATATTTTTAAATAATTAGAAAACAGAAACTTGTGGCGCCATCTCTCGGCAAACCGCCCAAGTTTGTCGTGAAATAGTTCCCAATTTTCGCCGCTAGATAGCGCTATATTTTCAGTATTTTTATTTATTAAAAAAACCAGGCATTAGATAATTATTAATGTACAAATGAACAATTAAATGTTGAATAATGATAATTACGTAATTAATGTTTTTTAACGAAACGGTCTGAAAATTAGTTCGGACCTCGCCGCTAGATGGCGATACCATTTGTGTGTCCATTAACTGGCGTTTGTGCTTCTATATATATCAAAATATGAATGCAATGAATTTTATGAATAATAAATCATATTATTTAACAATTATGGTACTACTCGTCCCTCTGGGGCAATGATGCATCATTTATTACATAATTAAATAAACATTATATATGTTTCCATTACGCATATTTTTACAACATGGGAAATCAGCAAAATAACTTGCACTAGGATTTCATAAAAAGGGGACGAAGAAGTTCGGGAGAAGGTGGTATGGTAAAGGATAGTAGGAAACAAAAATAACGATATACTTATTAATTGTTAACAGAAGATTGTTTAATCTATGCATTGAATATGGGATGACCTAATACTTACAAACTATCGAGTTTGCATCTAGCGATTGTGGTTGAGAACAAAACTTATCTTTACGTTGATATTTACACTAAGGAACGTGTGGAGATCTTTCAAAGTTATAGGAATTCCTTTGACTGAAAGTTTGTTACTTATTGGAATAAAGAACATTAAACTGTTTGTAATGCGTTAACCATGGAAAGAGGCTCCGATTATGGTACAAGGAGTATCTTAAACGTTACATCGTAGAACATAGCATTTATATGACATTAATATTTACAAAGAAACGTTAATAATTCAACTATCGTATTCACCTTTATCGAAATGGAAATAAAATAACTATCTGATGAACGCTAACGACTATTAATTTCTTAATTTTGTTCGAATTTTTAATAGAAGGTAGATACTAACGATAAGTATATATGACTGATCGTTTAAGATGTATGAAATTCTTTTATCGAAGAGAATGGTATTTAGTAATGTCATAGGCGAGACAAAAGTTAATTAACCGGTGAAGATAATTCGTACAAATTTCTCTAAGTCCTGAATAATATTCGTTTTGCACGTGTCGCGTAGAATTAATTTTAAACGTAAAACTCGATCCTAACGAGTGCAACCTTTTCCAGTTCGCACACAGCGTGGCAGTGGTCACTCAGAGCTCGATTGCTACGGCAGTTGAGCGTTATTCAAAGAAAAGGAGCAACAGGACTCTTCTTCGACGAGTTTCTTGTAAATTCATTCACGTATGTTTCCTAGTGTACAAGAAGTATAAACAAAATAAATTTGATATTACTCCGTATAACATTCGTTTACTTTTTCTTTCAATTTTTTGCTCAATTTCATTCGCGTATAATAAAGAACTAATGAACACCTTGTCTTGTAATAGGAAACTATCTTTGTACGAATAATATACAAGATATTGTAATCGTATGCACCGAGTTCCTTGGAATAGAAAATATCGAATAAAAAGTAATTTACGGATACTCTCGGTGCACAGTTTATCGTTCCCAACGACAATTGTCTTGCTGACGATATACAATAGTTTGGTTCTTTTATCAGAACAACTTCGAAAATGATTTTGCATTGAAAAGTGTTTTCCATTTGATATTCATATTTTGGAAATGTACGTTGGAAAGAACGTAGCAGCGAACAGGTCGTTTCGCTTGAACTTAAAACAATTTAAGTAAAATGCGTACAGAAATTCGTTTACTTAACTCTATCAAGTATTCTTTTGATATCCGCACACTGAAATTCAATCTCAATTAAATACAGATTTCTGTTCCCTTTATAAAACTACGTATACTTAACTATATGTAGATCACATTCGACGAAATATTAACAATCAGCATTGTCTTTCAAAACTAATGTCCTTTTAACCCTTATCACTACAACTGGAATTTCGGAATTTTTTTATTACTGCGTTTAATTCAATGCGAGCTAGGGTATTTGTTATCGTTATCGAGATATTAATGTAAAAGCTGTGAAAAAACAGAGAGTAGCGACGATGAGCCCGTTATTCAAAATGATATTTGTAATTATTACGCAAATATGTGCAATCTACGATAACTAAACTAAATCTTCAAGAAAATAAAACGACTTATTTTATTTAGAATTTGAATCAATAATTATTTGTTACTATACAAAATGATACTATGCATTAATTGATGAAAGTACGAGTAATTAAAAGTAATATAAAAAATGAACATACAAATACGAACGAGCACGTACAAATTTAAAAAGACGTAAATAATTACGTAAACAGGTTTTATATTCTCCATTATTAAGGAAACCTGAAATAAACATTATTTAGAAATAATTTATTAAAAACATATAAAAATAACAGTAAAATATAAATAAACTTCTTCGATTTACTCCTATTTTGTATTTACCCGACATTAATAAGTATTCTTACAAATAAAAAGCTATCTTATAAATATACTGCGGATATTTATGCATTTATTATATAAACCAATATAACAAATTCGTCCTAAACATAATCAAAAAGTATGTGCGTAAACAAAGTTTGTTTGCAATTGCCTGAAAATCATTCCATAACATTCTTGGAGTGATAAGGGTTAAAAAAAAAAGTAACAAATCTTAAAGAGAACTCTTAAATTCTTGTCAAAGAAACCTCAACAAGACTGAACTTTCTAACGAACAGCCAGACTGTCCAGCGAGTATTGAGATCAATAATGTTTCAACAAATAAAATAACAAAGAAATATGTCTCCTAAATTAAATGTCTACTCGATGCGAATTTTTGCATCCATCTCGAAGACACGAAACTGCACGATTAAATATTTAGGATCCACGAAGAAGGCAAGGCAGTCAGGGACTCGCAGACAAGTCTGAAACGAGTCCCTGTGCCACCGAAACAATTTCTTGATGTACCTCTTATTCGTTTTCGTACAGATCAACTATTAATAGAAACACTACGTACTCCTTTTTTTCAGCTATTCAAAATTCGACGCGTCTTCGAATATTTGGTGCTTTATTTCTTTAAACGATAACATTTCGTAGGCAGTTACGACACTTGTCGAAAGTCTCGCGTTGCTTTCTTCGATAAATTTCTCTTTTTTTCAGGTTTCAATTATGGTCCTAGTCGCATCTTTCTTACACGTCTTTAACATTGATTATAACATCCACAGAACAAGTGAAATATCTGATCTCCCAAAATTTTTACTTTACCATTCTTTCGCGTCCGAATTATTTTTAGAAGAGACATTTCCGGTCCCGCGAGAACACGTCTATTATTTACGACTAAATAACTTTCATCGCTAATCGATTAGCGTGTACGCATCATTCGAATTTACTCTTCGATTATCTAATCGCTTTGATGTCTTTTTAATTTGATGCTACCGTTACTATTGGAATTACTTGGCTTAGCGTGAGGTAAAAGCTCTGGTCACCAAGCCTCCGTGTACCTAACGTCGAACTCTTGCAGCGATGGTAGACATTTCTTCAGGGACTCGAACGTTTGAACGGATAGTTTCGTGCTGTTCAGGTTCAGTTTTCTTAAGCTCGTCAATGCTGAAAATAAAAACCCGAGTACTGAATACTTATCCATACACGAAGATACTGTACCGTTTAAATGGGAACACTCAAATATCTTCGTTATTTTCGAAGTTCAATATATTATATGACATATGATAATAAAAATATTACATTTCCTTGGAAAAAAAAATGGTTTGACTATTACGTAGACTATTATGTAGATTTTGTTCAAAGAACCATAAATAACAAAGATATTCCGGATGTTTCCATTTAAATACTCTACGTTGTAGAAAACTTACAGGTCAAAGTAGAGATTCCTTTGTCGGAAACAGGCGTCTCGCAAAGATTCAGAACCTGGAGTTTCTGTAAATGTTCGCTGATCATTTGTAAACCGGCATCGCCGAACTGCGTAGCCCAGAGGTTCAGGTATCTCAGAGCTGGCAGTTTGATGAGTTGCTCGGCGCAAGCGGAAGTTACAGACGTGAACGCCAAGCTGAGGCATTCGAGGTTCCCAAGAGCTCCTCCACCTAGGAGGAGAGCTACGTCAGCATCCGTCGCGCGAACTGGCAGCGTCAATTTTCTGGGCCCTCCTTTCTGTTGCTGTTTTAAACGACGAAAGTAAGTATAAAAATCTTTTTCCATGTGACGTCAGATCAAAATGTAAATGATGAAAAAAACACTGTTTACTCACCAATTCTTGTAAATTCCTTTGCCTCTGACAAAGTGCAGCGTAACGATTCTTGCCAGATGCTGTGGAGTCGAGGGCGTTCACTATCTGCAATCGAGCTTCCTCGTTTGGTAGCAAATGCCATTCCAACATCAAACAGAGAACCTCCTGCGCAGCGTCGCAGCCTCTCACCGCCAGGAGTACACAATCGTCTCGTGCCTGCTTCGTCAGCGAGCTGATAAACCTCTTCCGCCGACAGCAACACGCCAGCAAGGTTGTCAACTGATAAACAGTATTAAAAGAAAGATTCGAAGTTACAGAGGTGTATAGTGAGGTATAGCGTATGTATTTGATTAATTTTATGGAGTCTTAGGATTAGTCGTTAAAAATCTTCAAAGAAAATGCATACCATTTCACCAAACAATTCTCCCTGATCGGGACAAGCTGGACTCGATGGCACGACGATGTGGATCCACCCAGGTCGTGGTTCCCTGACTGGAAGCAGAACGCGATGAACGATGCACCTTGTATCTTTTGCTAAACGCTTTATCACGCACATTAATATCGACTGCTGGACCTCTTTCACGCTCAAAGCTTCCTCTGGAAACGGTACTGGTTGCAACAGAGCGCCCAAGCCCGGCCTCCAGTCTGTATATTCTGATCTGGAAGAAAATCGATGGTACATTTCTTGGAATGTAAACTCTGAATTTAAATAGCTAGCATTTTACGATACTTACGTGACATTCAGAACTAACAAGTAGCAATCTAATGGAGGTAAAATCAATGGTTCGTCATTTGCTGATACGGAACGTCGGGTCACTTCGAATCTGGAATTATTTTCAATACAATATGTGTTATATTATGTTATATTAATAAATTACTGTGGATACAAGAATGTGTAATAACCTCTACAAGTGCTTGCAATACATGAAACAAAAAAGAATTAAAAGAAACTTGGAAAAATTTGAAAAGTACGACCCCTTGAAAATATTTTTTCATATTTCATAATATTAACTTGTTCGAACCAAAAGTTTCCCTTTTCCATTTCTTTCTATTATTAAAAGCAAGATTATTTAAGATGCTCGAGTTAGGCAGAACTGATAGCAACCCGCTAATTGAAAAAAATTAAAAAAAATATACATTACTTACTCATAACTCATAAAGCTGAACAGATTGCTAAGGTGCCCTGTGAAAAAATACAAAAAAAAAAAAAATTGTTTCGATCAAATGAGCAACACGGTGGATCTTACCTGTGAAAAATCGCAGCGACGCAGATGGATACCAGATTGGGAAGTACTCTTGGATGAGGACAATCGCTTCCAGGTCCGTGAACAGCTGCGATATAGTCTCTGATGGCTTGTTCGCCGTTGTCACTTGCGTACAGGGCAGCCACGAAGACTTGAAGGAATTTTCTCATGTCTGGAGACTTGCCAAAGTCAACGGTGTGCTTCAAGCATCTCGTGATGGCTGGATTTACAGCAGACACTAAGGACGATCGTGGATGCTCGCGAGCCAACTTGGTGAGAACTCTAGCAAGGCAGGCAGGGAGTGCAACTTTGTCGAGAAGAGGGGCCACCACGGAAAGAGTAGCTTCTGCCCAGTGTTTTCGCTCGTTTTCACACTGAAACATCTCTCTGGTTAGCTTCTCCGACTTTTGATTCGACTCCTCCACAGCTGAATCCTCGAGAAGCTTCGCCACAGCCTCCAGGGGTGCGGCGGTGACCCTTTCGTCTTGGAGGGACGTCCACAAGGCAAAGTCTACCATTGATTTCAGCTCTCTGATCACTACTTCTTCTCGTGTGCTCAATGCTACTAGGTGTTGGTACTTGAAAATACTTCTCTAAAAATCAGATAATATCGGAAGTTACAGGATGTTCAAGGAAATGTTTCGTATCGTAGGAACCTTTCCATTTCACAAGTAACAAAGGTGGCTACCCAATTAAAAGTATTGCGAGCTCGGAGGTAAGTTACCTTCCATAGTATCGAATGATACCATTGGTCCCTCGTATAAGCGTTATTGGCTTGGAGGAGAAGCGAACTGTCTGGCAGAATTATGCTGAGGCAGTTCTTGTATGTAGGATCCCATCTGGCAACGGCATACTTTCTTATGTCGGACATGTTATTGTATGGTATTGGTTGCTGAAGAAATCCAGTGGGCTGAAAAGAATAGTTTGAATGATTGGAATATTATAACTTAAAAAAAAAAAAAAAAAAAAAAAAAAAAAAAAAAAAAAAAATATGGTCATAGTTGCTTAAAGTGGTAGATATCTGGAAACACATATTTCGAGAATGTTGCTGAAACTATGATATGTTATAAAAATCGAAATTATAAACCATTAAAAAAAAAAATAACGATTATTGACTGCGCCGTTACTGAGATATAATTAATTAATTACAGTTTGAACTGCGTTCAAACCAGCGCATGCGGACAAGCGTATCCCTGCGATGCCAGTGTTGCTTCCAACTCGCGAATGCGCGTTGAAGAAAGCTGAGCGCGCAGTGCTGTAGCTATAGAAAACGATACCTGGTCCCAAATCTTTTATACTCCTATTAATTATTTACACTATTACAATATTTACAGAGTTGTAAAGCTTACAAGGCATTACAAGGAGAGGCCGTGAATTGGGGGTCACCGATTATTACCTTTCTGAAACACGTCAATTTATTTAACAAGATTGAACGTTAACTGAAGTTCAGTCGCCAATAACCATTGATGTAACTCTACATAAATTTGTACTTGAAAAAAAAATAAAATAACACGAAAATTTATAGCGTTAACGGAATAATCGACAAAATGGTCGAATGCATTCGCGGAAAAATTGGATAAAACAACGTGGATACATAGACGTGCATGTATACTAAAAGAAAAACAGAGAGATGAGAGATGCGTGTACACTGTACACATAGTCATGTGTGTGTTTCACTTACGTCAAAGCCGACCCTGAATTTGTCTTGCGATTCAGATTACGTTTGAATCGTGTAAAAGACTGCTTGATTCATTCTTTTTTTTCTTTTTTAGTCATCTGGTATAACGATCCATTAGGCTAAGTCTGGTTACACGTTATATAATATATACATTATATATATATTAATTAATACTTATAACGAATAATAAGCGAAATTTCAAAGTTGAACTTCTCGAAAACAAAGCCTCGCATGAAACATTTGTATTCTATTCAGTTTCACGTATATTTGAAACGAATACGTTTCCTCTGCTTACAGGTCCTTATAAGTCAGGAAGTATAAATTGTTTCGTAATTATCACGTCGATAATTACCTGAAATGATTTGAAATACAAATATAAAATGACGTGGAAGTACGTCAGTAGGGACCAGGTACAGATTTAAAAATGACGTAGAAGTACGTCAGCGGCTACCAGCTACGGATTTTAAAATGACGTAAAAATACGCCAGCGGCTGGGAATGTATTAATAGTCAAAATGTGATCGACCAGTCCCGAAACGTGTTTTTCCTCCACGCGACATTGTCTTTAAATTTGTCTCGACTATCGTACTTTCCTAATAAATCGCAAGAATATTTATTATCCGCGTAACACTAACTGTTTAATATTTTACGCATTTCCAGCGTCTTAATAGAAGCTCATATATTCAAAAGTATTCCCTTAATAAGCAAATACTTATTAAAACTTATATTTAGAAAAAAAAAAAAACGATATTTTCATAGTCTTTCGTGTGTATTTTAGTCGAGAATATTCTACAGCGATCGTTAGTTGGCCTAATCAGTAAGATAGGCTCCGCTAGATAAGCAACCACTGGAAACTTACTAATGTTGCTGTTTCTAACAGAAATATTACTTCCTCTACAAAAAAGAACGTTTGTATGCAATGTAATCTTGAAAAAATAAATAACGCAGACCTAACGCGAAATTTAAATTGCAATGTTGATCTAACCCAGACCCAATCCTTTGTCCCTTTGTCTTGTCTTTTTCAATTACATTTACAAATACTTTTCTGCCAAAATGATTGCAGTCTAAAACGAACTTTACTTCTATACTACTATAAGTAAATAACAAATCAACTTACAGTTTTAGAGGAGATACAGGTGTCGTTCAGATAAAGATGATGCGTCTCCCACCTTCTCAAGAACTTGCTCGACAGAATTTTCCTAACGAGAGTCTTTGTATGGTTCAGAAAGCACACCTGGATGTCTCCTTCCTCGATAGGCTTGAACCTGGGCCCAACAGGCCCGGAACTGGGGCTAGAGCTCGAGGAACCGCTAGTAGGGGAGCATCCGGTGCTCTGCCTTTCCAAATTTGGACAAGATCTGGCTGCAGGTAGGCAGAACGCCGTGTCCAAGCTTTCAGGCTTCAAAGTGTCTATTCGTGAACCTTTTTCACCCACAAACGATTCACAGGCATCCGATGAGGGAGATTGCGCGCTGGATCTAGGGTTAATGCCTGACGACAACTGAGGCGAGCTGGTGCTGGTTATCTCCAGACGCATGGCTCCTCCATTCACGCAGAGAAAGTTGTAGTAAGGTGCAGTGGATGACAGGCCAGCATTCGTTGGACCAGCAGGACTCAACGGCAATGAAGATCCTTCCTCTGTCTCTGTCTCTTGATTGTAAACGTTCTCCTTTCCTGACTCCCCAAACCCATTCTGCAAGGATGGTATGTCGTTCTCTGAGACAGCTGTCACACGACAGTTCCTCAAATTGTCCTCTATGGAGTCGATCAGAACAGAAGGGGAGGACTTTGTGAAGAGTGTTGTGGTACTGCCAGTTTCGTAATCCTGATGGCCCCCAGGAGATGAGCCTGATGATTCTATCCCTATAGAATTGCTACCTGGTGAGGGAGACACGGAAAAGAAAGAAGCATCCTTGTCGCAGGAATTGGATGACTCAGTGGACCGTAGACGCAGAAGAAGCTTCTTGCAGCGCCTGTTGCTATATGATTGCTTCTTTGGAGAAGACTTTGGACTACTCCCATCTTCCAAGAGTTTCTTGTCATCTTTGGTTTCCTCTCCATTTGGAATGAGATTGGGTGCTGTTAAAGAATCAGGTCCTGGTGAGAGGGAGTCTGGATCCAGGTAATCGGATTTGATGTCTGGGAGTGTATCGGTGCTGCTGCAATCCGAGGTGGATGGCTCTTGGTCTATGTATCTGATGGATGACCCAGAGCCTTCACTGGTGGCCTCTGAGCCTCGTCTGTCGCTCTTGGAAGTCGAAGATTTGTTGTTGATGGGTAGGATCATGCTCATGGAGGAGGTGTTGGATTTGGTAGAAGACAGGGGGGACACTAACACGCGGGAGGCGCGTGTAAAAGGGCCTTGGAAACAGAACATTTTATTTGAGGATAAATGAATTTTCAGACAGAAAATTCTTGTGAGCAGTTTGAGGATTGGTTAATTTGGTAACTTGTGTCCCCTTGTGGCGAGATTCTACGCTATGGACCTACTGACCCAATTCAGTCTATTCTCCTAGATTCCAATGATCGACACGTCCGAGAAAATTTCAGGGAGAAAGGTAAATCGTGGTAACAGCGTTTGGAAGGCAAATCGATCTGAGTTTCTTGAATTTGTTTCTTTGTTGTCCTCGAGGGTTTCAGTATACAGGCTTTCTCCAGATCAAGCTCCTCGTTCGACCTAGAAACGGTCGTTCTCCTCTCTTCATTCACGCAGAGCAATTCAATGAACAGCGAGCAGGAAGCAGCTTCGAGGAACGTTTGCGCTGGGGCATTGCTGGTTTGCTCGTGGCTCGTGGCTCCGTGGGAAGCCCCGCTTCAGAGGTCAAACTGGGACGCGTGATTTTTTTTTCACACGTTGCAACGGATCACGGCACATTTTGACACAAACCACTCGACTCACTGTCTCGTTGCTCGACTCCTGATTAATTCACTGGTTCTTGTTTCACCGGTTCTCTTATCTATCTGCAAAAAAAATCGGGAGAAAATTGTAACGTGCCGGAGCAGTTTCCAGTGGTTGGATGGCGATGGTGTCCGATGGTGTCGAGAATTGGTCGGCAGAGTCAGAGTCGATGAACGACGAACAGAAGGAGCGAAGGAGAGAGAAACAAAGAGGGAAACGAGGAGAGCGAGAGAAAGAGGGAGCCGTGTATCCGACGTGACGCTTAAATGTCTGACACGATTGTGAACAAGCAGGTGGGGACGACGGGGTTAAGGAGAGGAGAGGGCGTCGCGGCGCTTGGCGTCTCGCAGCCGATCAATGACTAGTCGCGAGTTTGCTTCGAATTATTGCGATTTCCTGCGCCCCTTTCATTCCCCTTTTACACGTTAACACGTTCATCGTCACATCACCATGTAACATACTTAGAATATCACCCACATATACATATATATATTATGATGAATTAAAAAAATTCACTCTGAAAGACAAGCATCAAAGGAAATGAATTTAAATGAAATTCGGACACTTGCTTATGCTACGACTTTGCAAATATAAATTAACCCTTTATCGACCTCTGTAACTTTCGACACACATATTTATCAAAATAATCAATTTTTGATAAATAAAACACATTAAAAAGCAAAGTCTGTATTATTCTTGAATTTGTACGGTCACTTTTCAGAGCTGGCATCGAACCCAGAAAAGGGAATTCCCCTTTTTGTGGGGCGCGAGACGCATTCATATCAACTCTTTCGATCCTGGTGGAACATACACTATATGTATGTCCAAGTGAATACTTTTGATTGCCTTTGATCAAATTACAAATGAGACATGTGAAAGACATACATGAAAAAAAATGAATCAAATCTATTTTAATACAATTAATTTCTAAACCTATTGACGTTCATTTGTAACTATGTCTACTGTGCTGAGGCATATAACTCGTCATTTTTTTTAGTTGTAAAAATATTTTACATGGAATAATAATATCAATAAATATATAATCAACTTCGTTGGAATGTTTAAAACTAATATCTTGAACAGTTCATTTCATGAAATTGTCATCATCCGATTAACTTTGACCGATACACGTACAATGATAGTTTGCACAAGGATGGAGAAATGACAAATGATGCGACGACGTTATCGCACTTCCCTTTTAGCGTAAGCGATACGGATAACATCCCATTGTTGTTTCGGTATCTTTTTTTAAACTGGTTTCATACGAAAATATTGTTATTTGGATCGGTCTGCGATCGACGTCGTTTAAAATAAAACATTCAAAATTATTCCATAGCATGGATCTTAAGATTCGTTAAGAGACTGCGGTTGTTCATACATTTATGACATGGAAAAGTATGGGAAACTGTATGAAAATCTGCGTGAATGATATAATATATAAAGCGCATGAGCGTTGGTAATGCACATAACACAAAAATTAATGTAGTAAAAGTAGTAAAAAGTAATGCACAAAGAAAAAACAAAAAAAAAACACTGGCATCTTTTAAGCAACTCTCCGCTTAACAAAGGCACGCGTCCACGTCGCGGCGACGACTGGTAACACCATACCCGATAATAACAGCGTTCAAGTTCCCTTTCAATAAACGTAAGATATCGCATCCAAGGTTACGCTAGGCGTTGCCTTGCAAACAGTTACTACGAATTCGAATCATTTATAATGCAATGTTATTCCTCTTGTGAACATTACAGATTCAAAAAGAATACGCTCAAAAGCATTGAACCACCATTAATATTATACATAGAACAATCGTAAATCTCATTCAGATTAAAAAACAATGTGTATTACATTTTGCAACACGAAAAAAAAGGACGCGAGAGCGTAGAGATACTTATACATGAAAATGAGAAAAATATGTATTTTTTTATTTTTGTCTTCCATATATACAAAATATTCGATGTTCGATTGTATAGTTCATGCGTTACAAAAAATGAATGTAAATTTATTTCATGACGTATATATCTCATAATACAACTATTCTTATATCACGAAAACAGAATATGTAAATAATCGGTCTTTGCTCGAAGCTCTTAGTTAAAAAGTCGCATATATTATGACGTATAGTTTCTCTCACTATTGAATTCCTCTTTCCGCTTGTCGGTTCTAATTAGATTCTCTCAGCGGACATCCAGTTCTCTATTTCTTCCACGCTGTAATTGAATTAGACGTTCAAAGAAGAGTAATGGGAATTCAAAAATCGTATGTTTCGAGATAGCATTGTATGCTCTCAAAATTATATGAATTACAAGATATTATTATATATAAATATTAATCGGAAAACGTTTCTGATAGACAAAATAAGGGCAGAATTATGATCAGAATAGTATAAAAATAAAATCTGAAATATGTCAAAACTTACGTGCGCGGCACAACCGTCATGTTTTTTACTCCAGTGTCTGTTACAAGGACGTCATCTTCGATTCTAACTCCACCAAAGCCGCGGAATCTTTTCAGTTCTTCAGCAACGATGAATTTCGATTGATCTGGGTTACTCAGAGCTGCATCTAACAGCTATCATATACTAATTAAGGACCTTATCTTATTCCTTGGTAGATGTTTTACAATAAATAAAATAGCAGAAATATTTTACACAATCCATCGAATTTTACATATTTCAACTATTAACTTTGTTATTGCTAGTATCTCGATTGTACTTCGTATAATACTATGTTTTACACTTACACAATCGATGAAGTAGCATCCAGGCTCAATCGTTAAGACCATACCAGATTGCAACATACGACTGGTTCTTAGTTTTCTCAATCCAGGTGCCCCAGAACGTTCCGGATGTCCTTCGAGATACCCACCAACGTCATGGACATCTAATCCCATGAAGTGACCAAGCCCATGAGGCTGAAAGACTTCGTTCAATCCTGCCTTTATCATGTCGTCAACGTCGCCTTTCAAAAGACCGCCCTCCTTCAGTGAAGCTAACATAGTCTTATTCGCCAAGAGGTGCATGTCCACCCAAGCAACGCCAGGTTTCGCAGCCTTCATTACTGCATTACGAGCAGAAAGCACCGCGTTGTATACAATTTTCTGATCCGGTGTAAACTTTCCATTAGCTGGAAAGCTACATGTAATGTCTGCTGCGTATCCACAGTAGTTTCCACCCATGTCAAAGAGACTTGCAGAAAACAATAAAATTGATAGTTTATCAGAATAGAGACTTTGAACAAAATATCCTAAAGATGTATCGAAGCTCACCACATATCGCCATCCTTTATGACTCTATTGTTAGGAGCACCAGCATGTCCATAATGCAGTATGGATGCGTTATGACCAGACCCACAAATGCAAGTATAAGAAACGTGTCTACAACCTCCAATGGAATACACATAATGCATGAAAGCTGCCTCTGCTTGAAACTCTGCAAGTTCTGGTCTTACTACGTGCATAACTGATTTATGAGCATCCGAGCTTATCTTAATTACGTATTCCAACACCTCAATTTCCTCTGGAGATTTTATGACTCTGCTACAAATAAATTATAATGTATTCGACAAATTGTCGATAAACATATCTTAATGAATTTTTGTAATTTATTTTACAAAAAAGTATTCGGTTATCATTTATAAAACATTTTATTTCATACATCGCGCAACATATTTTAGTTAGTAGATTATTAGTATAATTTCTTCTGAAGCAAATAAGATTATATTTTGAAATTTCAATGTTTCGTTGTTATAAAGCATCCTCTGCTCTACCTAAACTTTCTAATAAATAAGACGACAATTTATCAGACTGACTCCAAAGTTCCTGCAATACAACATAGTCCAACGTCACAACTCGAAATCCCAATTTCCTGATATGTCTCTTCCTCATTATTTGAGGCCCTATCAAGTGACGCGTATTTCTACAATAATATTCTGGTAAATAAATTAAAACTGCAGTGTTTGTATCTTTCTTCGATTCGTTCAAATGAAAGATTGGAGTGGATACCATGAAGGGATGTATCAGTATATCGAGCATATAAAAACTTATAACTGGTAATCGATTCAAGATCACGTTTTTACTTAATTTGTGTTCTCCCCCTACTAAAGACGCTAACGGCTGATATATCATATTTACTGTTCTTCTGATTCGTGCATCCAAGAACAATGGTTTGTCTATCTTTCTCGAAGGGAGATGCAAGTCTTGATAATCCTTGCACTCTAAAGACATAGTGGCATCCAACAGCTTCAATTTGTTCTTTATATGATTGAAGAAAACAGAATGATTTCTTAAATGAAGCTTGTGAAGCAACTGCGAGACGAATATCTTATCTAAAAATTTCACAGGGTATTTTTCTAGATACGTGCAAGAAATAAGAATGTCCAAAGCATCGTCCAGCTTTAAATCATGAAATTTCAATGACAATACTTCATTGAAAGTTTCCCAAAATTTACTGGGACTTGGTGGCTGTACGTACAACAATCCAAATGGTGTGAGAATGGATGGCAGTAAGTGAGTTGGAATATTCGTACTCTGTTTTATGAAGTATTCCCCGCATTCTGCCAAAATCTGTTCGTTTCTGACCTGCAGAATTTTACAATAATTCATAATCGTGGCTATTAAATTCGAATCTTCGATTTGCAATGCTTTAGATTTCAAATATTCCTGCAAAGTGTTTTCTATTCTAAGATCGATGTAGTCTTTCGAAGTTAGACTACGTATGAAATTTATCAAGTCCTTTTCGCTGGATGTACTCATACTTATACTTGCCCATTTGCTGGCATTTATTAAACATCTCGTTGCAAAGACATCGTCATGAAAACAGTCCAATATTTCCGCAATTTGTGTGCCTGTTAATTTTAACCAATGATCAGAAAGTTTTCTTTCGAGAATAATCTTCACCATGTTTTTACTCTGATTAAAATATTTCAGAGTTTTAAACAATGCTACCAGTGAATGAGAATTAATCTCTTGTTCCCTGAGCAAAATACCAATCCACAAAGTATCGATAGCTTTATGATATTTAAGATCCTTGTAAGTCGACAAAATTTTGATAACATTTATCAGCTGGGCAGGTGTAAACTCTCCATCCGCAGCACGACTCAGAGCCTCGTCGCACATCCAATCTCTGTACACGTTTCTAGGCGGATTAACTTTATCTTTCTTCAATGCTATAAGTCCCTGTAGTATCATCTCGCTGTCGTGACTATTAATAATTAATTTAATCAACTGTTTCATAACAATATCTTTAGCACTGATGTCGATTTCCGATTGCCTATTTTTCTGCACTTTGCTATACTTTTGCTTGTTCCAACTATTCTCCAACTCAATAACTTTCTTCAGTCCTTCCAAAGCTACCCTGCAGTTAATCTCATGCGCGACCTTGTTCTCTAACAGTGAGTATACTCCGTCGACTGTGTCGAACGACTGCAATTCCTGTAGAACCTCTTCTATATCAGAATCTTTAAGGCATTCGAGATCAGAACAAAACAGTACTGCGGTTCCTTCGTCGGTTTCAATGTCTATTCTTCGATTCAGTGGTTTATTTTTCACTTTGGAGTTACTTGGAATATTTGTGATGTTTGATACATTATTTAGCGTAGACTGTTCGTCCTTCTTAGATGTATTGGACAGCTTGTAACCAGAATTCACAGAAGAGAGCTTCTTTTTATTTGTACCGTTACACATTGCCTCGATATCCTTGATTTTTCTGACAATTAACGGTACTTCCTGTATTTCGGGACCCTCCTGCACGAGAATACTAGTTTGCGTTAAAATTTTTTGCCCAGCAAAGTTCCCCGACATGGACTCATACCAGCGTTTTCTCAGCTTAGAGATGACTATGGACGGCTGCCTATGCATTACAAATTTTGCCCATACGCGGCCAGCTAGTATCATCTGCATAGATCATACAAGCGTCTAATGAGATTAGATCTAACGATAAATCCCTCATCTTTCGTTTATTTATTGTACCTTTTTTAATTTTAACACGCAAAAGAATAAAAACACAGCAGAATTTGTTTATTTGCATTAGAATACCTAACACACGTATTCTTCAAACTGCTTTTCAAAATACTTTCAATTTAATGATTCATTTCAGACGTTGTTAAATCATTGTTAAAAAAACTTTGTATAAAAAGCTTGTGTCAGATATAAAGGAAAATCAACTCAATGAAAAGTGAGTATAACGGCAATATCGATATAAAACAGTCGACTTATCGATAGCGACGCTATTTCTTAGGCTTTCTACATAGACTACAAAATCTTATCGATATCATATAACGAAATGAATTTTTAAAAGTGTATTCGTTCGATAAAAATTCCTCGTTACTTTGTCCTTTGATTAGTAATTGTAAAATTGATAGACATTACCGTATTTGGTCTCAATTAGAAACATTTTCAATAGAGATTAGAAAATACTTTCTTGTTATAAAGTATCAAAATTTAATGCATATAAATTTATTAATATATTACGTGGTATCTTAAACTTTCGAAGCAAGCGTTAAACATGCAAAAATAAATTTCCATTCTATGACTTACCATTCGCATATTTCTGGATACAAAACTTTGTTGTCCACTTTGAACCTGAAAAAAAATAAAAGATAAGAAAAATTGTTCTGTAATCCAAGAATGCACGAAAGTAATTTACTACTTACTGGTTAATACCATCAAAATCTGCTTCGTGAGTTTGTAAACCGCTATCACTGTTTTTACCCATCTACAAACATTCGTGAAATTAAAAACATGATGAAGCACATCTAGACCAAAAAAATTGTTTGAAAATAGAACTTACCAAAGTGAGGAGAAGAGTGGCTTGCTTTCTTTTTAATACTTCAGCTATCTCATCGGTGTAGTAAGTCTCATGGACTGCATATCTCTTTTTAAAATCTTCCAAGGTGTGCAATTTCCCCATCCAAATGGCATATTCTCTCGGCAATCGTGGTAAGAACAAAATCGAAGTTTCTGTTGATAAATCAATAGCACCGTAACATCCTGGTTCTTCGACGCCAAAACACCATTGAAAGAATGATTCCTATCAAAATGATTACATTAAAAACATCTACTTTCTGTCAGGTATTTTAAGATTACTGCTTACTTACAAGAGTTACTTACTTGCCTGAATGGCCATGTTATATCTGTGTCATTAAATGGAACTTCAATTCCTCCTTGAAGAATTACAAAACTACCTTCTATTGGAGTCTTTGTGTTTGTTCTGAGACGTGTGATTAATCGTTTGCGATTATTTTGGAAAAGTGACATGGGTACCTTCAGGGTATGATCGCCCCTTTGAAAATAGGATTCCATAGTAGCTCTGAAATGAGTATTTATAATTTGAGTAAACATAAAAAGGTAAGAATAATAGGATCTGATATAACAAAAATTATGTTTTCAAAATGGATTCAAAATAGTTTAACAGTTAAAAACAGCTTATGTTCTTTATCTATACAAGTTTTGTTAAATTATCAAAGACTGATGAGACTGACTGATAAACAGATTAAGTCAACTAAGAATGGCAAAGATAAGATAGTATATTTAAAACATGTTTATCGATCTTCTTTGCTGCAATTTATAATTAATTACTTATCTTTTTCCAATCTGTTTTTGGTTGAAATAATGAAAAAATGCAACATCTTGTATTTTTACTTTGCAATGCAATGATATTATCAGAAGGATCAGAATAAAATCATTTGATATTATTTCAAAAATGAATTCGAAAACGACCTTGATAAGTTTACTAATGATCCTGGTATCAAAAGACACATCAAAGTGTCAACTTGCTACTCTTTTACAGATAGTTATTTGTTCAAGAAACTGTATTTTAATAGATAGAGACAATCGATATATTGAACATCGACGAAAAAGCTTGATAAGAAAAACAATGATTGTATTGTCTATACATACGAATCTGTTGCTTCTGCCATATCGTTATCTGTCACTCGTCGATTCACTTGTAATAGACTAGAATGTGCGTGATACACTGTTCTCGCTAACGCTCTTGGAATGTAATTGTAGGATGTAGGCGTAGATTGGAAGTAATACACCTGCGTAACAATCAACAATAAGAAATATTCTGAATTACACTTATTTGTTTGTGCTCTAATGAATTGCGCTACGCAATCGTGTAAATCTGTGCCGGCACAGATGGGCACTGATGGGCACCGAAACGAAACAAAGTGACACTCGAGCGCTTATGAAGTCCGGATTCGAATACGCATGCGTATTGATGTTTTTAAAAAGTTGCGGGACGACGTGATGAGTAGGTAAAGCGATGGAGGGAAGAAAAGATTAGGTCTGGTTAGGTTGTTTCGTCGTTGTCAGTTGTCAGCCATGTTAGTTCAGAGCGTGGCGAGCACATGTATTAATGGCGCCATAGGAAGCTGACGTGTTAGACAAAGAGATAGTATAGATAGAGTAGGAAAGACAGTAGAGGATTGAGCGCAATTGAGCGCACGTCTGTCCTCTAAGAACGCGTGCGCAAGTGTGACCAGCTGTGACGTGCTGTGACGCCATCAGCTAGTGTAACACTGGGACATGGCACTGGCAGTGTGCTTCCACTCCGCGCATGCGTCATGGACCTAAGAATACGTACGTACGCACTGATCTATACATCGGTGTATGTACGGCATATGTATAAGCTGAATTTAGACTACGTCCATATATTCTTAGATCCATGGTCGAGGATGATTATATACAAACGTTAGGCTAATGATGAGCAAAACCCTATACATACTATGAGTATGTACCTTTAATCTTCGCCATAAGGTCGAGAAACGATTACACCTTTGACTTATAGTCAAAGGATTAAACATTTTCCAAAGAACGAGACAAGCAGTACTGGCAAACTTCAGGTACTCATAGGCTGTGTTCGGTTTATCTCTTTTAGCGCTATAAACTATAAGCGTAAACGTGCCACGTCAGCAGTAGTGACGTCATGACTCGCTCACAAACGTACCGTCTTTTAGGTCAGGGGAGTATCAAATAAGGGCGCGACTGGCGCCCTTAGTCGCTCTAAAAAATAATAGAAGCATAAAAGAATATACTATTTTTGATAATTTCATAAATTTCATTACCTTGAAAGCACAAAAATAATTGTCTACGATATCGCGAACTAGGGAGGCATAAATAAGTGTTGGAATACAATTTTTAATTTCTTTATTCGTAATTAAGGTTCGTCGGATATAAAATCCGATCATCACAACGAGGTATAGCTTTCTTAATTTACACTATAACGGTAAATTTAAAGACAAATCTCTCACTCTTTCTATGCAATCACCCAGCATTGAAAAAAAAATGCGCTAACTCCTCATTCATACGCGTAATCACATGTTCACCGGAACGGACATTTAAACCAACGCGATTACAGGAGTTGCATGACGCGTTGATCGCTAGTTTATCTCGCTTGTGGATTTTGATAACGCGTGTATTTACAGTGCCGGACATAAGCGTTGATACAGAACGATTCTTGGAACAAAACTATCGATTTGATTTTGAGAATCAGTCTGTGCCAACCAACGCTGAATATTTGTATCTCTTTGAGATAAATAAAAAGTCAGCTTACTTTCGTTACTATTCAAAAGCATAGAGGACAAAACACTTTTATCCCCGAAAAATGGCGTAGTCCGTATGAACTTGCTAATTTTTTTGTTTTTAATTTTATCTTCCATGAATGAAATGAAATATATGCAAGGTTTCTCTAACTAGTAACGTTTCCGTAGCTCTCAACCTTCGTGTTCGAGTCTCTACATTTTTTAATACTTCGTAAAGAGAATAACGGAAGGATAAATATTATTCGTCATGTATAATACATGAGTTAAGCAACGTCTAGATCTGTCATTGGAAATATGTACAGTTGCATCCAAGAGGCCACCACTCACCGATTGTGAACCGCTCTGTGAGCGCTCACAGAGGCGGCTTAGTGAGCCTAAAAATTTCTCGCTCTCAAGCATGGTGACCGCTCCCAGGTAGCAGCCAACAGCTGCACAGAGCGAAAAAATTGTTGAACTCAGCCGCTCACGGAACGGCTCAGTGAACGATCGCGTTTTCGAATGCAACCTATGTTCGACACTGTATACAACCGTTTCACACAACTTGCAGTGCCACTTGGAAATTGATTACAGCGTCGTGTCTTCAAGTTCCATATCGCGAATGAATCATACTATAGCGGTATAGTAATACCGCTAGACCAGCACGCATGTGCCATACAATGTACAACGAATAACTTTAATATTCAGACACCTTACAATTTTTACTTTGTTTAGGATGAAAAATAAATCGATTCAGATATGTATTGCATTACTACTAAACTATATGTATATTAAGTATAAATACATTCAATTCATAATTAAACTCGATCCTTTTCTTAGCTGGACTTAAAGTTTCAATACTATAAGTACCTTAATCATTTTACAGATGATTGCAGAGAAATTTCTATAAAACGACAAAGGAAAAACTGTAAAGTGTCCGATAATTAAAGTTACTCGCCTCGTACACAACAAATTTACACGCGCGTACAGCATTTGTTACGTCGCTAACAATCGATAGTGATAAATAACTATGTACTAAATATGCAGAGCGAATGTAAACCTACTCATCGTCGTGATAATACATTCGCGTTGCTCGCGTACTTTTGTCTCGACAACAAAACCGATGCGTTGTCTGTTCAACAAAGTTTGCTAAATACTTGAAAAGTTGTACGAAAGGCGATTCGCTAGACCATAATCGAATACAACTCAACCAACGAATATTGCTGTTTGCCACCGCCACCGAGTGACTCGGTCGTTGTGCGCAATGAAACAAGTAAACGAGATCACTACCCTTCGAGTCGCGATGCTTCTGCGCGTAAAGGCGTTCCGTTTCGTTGATTGATTCTCATTTCTCCCACGATTTGCTTATTATTTCTCTAGTAGTTAACTGGACAGTCTCGAGCGAAATTTTTAACGACACCCTATAGGATTTGTAACCCTTTGGACTCGATGGACGACTCGGAAGCGACATTCTTTGTTTATCTTGTTTATGACTCGAACTGGTACACTTTGTAGTACTCTCCGATCATGCTAAAAGGGTTTAGTTGTACGAATCGTTAAACCTCTTTGTAATGAAACCGTCGTCGAGTCCAAAGGGTTAATATTCGTACTCGACGTTATTACAGAACCTATAATCGTATAACAGAGGTAACAGATGAGTTCGCATTTAGATGTACGGTTAGATCACCGTCTTATCGTTTGTTATGCTACGACCCAACGGCTGATAACGTTTCGTTTATTCGAATAGCTACTGGCATGCGTATCACTTGCGTAACTTTGAAAATATGACATAAATAGAAAGCTGTAAAGAAAACCGATGAGCGAACACTGTTACGGATGATTCTTTTGTTGAAATGTCGTGAGTCGATCGTTGGAAACTCGTCTGTTACCGTAGACGCGAGCAGCACTCAGGAACTATTTCTATTTAAAGGGAGGGATAAGTTTGAACGGAGGAAACGAGGAACGTTGTCGCGTAGATCGAGTCCAATATCTCGAATCGAGGCAACCACGGGCAGCCATAATTCGCAGGCTTCCACGTAGGCTTCGCGGATCGTCGATAGGTCGGCGATCGCGGCCGAAGTCGGCCGAAGCCGGTCGCTAGATGCCTCGAATAACAACGTATCATCGTATTTACAAACACGGCCATGTAAGGTGAGTTGTCGGCTAATTACGTTTACCCCACGGCACTTTGTTTCGATGCAGCCCACGACACTTGGACACGCTTACATCGAGCAAGATCTAACAGAGAGTCTCGAGCCTGATCCGTACCGAGAATTAATCCGTTACAGTTGGACTCATTTTCACAGCTCGTACACTGGCTGCAACTGTTCATCCTCGGAGTCGTACAAGTACGGTTTCCTTCGATACACGGGTTCGTCCTCCTCTTCGGAATTCTCGAGCTCGTCCAGGTTCGCCCGGAGTCTCTTCACAGCCTCCTTGATCAGTCCGCCTTCCCTGAGCAACTCCTGCAGGAGCGCGTAAGGATCGTCCTCCCTGGCGTTGGGTCTTTTGTGGTGATGACTTAGATGATGACGATGGTCGTGGACACCGGTGTTTCTCGCGTAAACCTCGCAACTGTTCGGGTCTGCCCACGACCTCGACGGTATTTGATAGGGCGAAGGTCGATTTTTGTTGTTGATGCTCGACTTGGCCTTCAGGCTGGACAACCGCAGGTTCTCTTTGATCTGCGAGACGAGGAGGTCCACGTCGCGCGAGAGGAAGTCCTGCGTGGTGTCTGGCATCACTTCTATTAAATACGTGGTCTCCTCGGCGCTTGGCATGTTACTTTCCCCCGTTTTTCAGGTACCAAAGGATGGAAGGACAGTGCCAGGAACGTGTTTACACCTCCACGTCTGCGACAGGCGAGAAAGCTCGAATAAGGTTCACAATAAAGCTCTGCTCTACGGGACAACGTGTTATCGCCCTCTCTCTTTCTTTCGGCTCCTCGCTCTTTCTTTTTTCCAGTTACACACGTAACTCTCACGGCTGGCACACGCAACTTCACTCTCCTCGTTCTCGTATCGCACAGCTTAACGTTCGTATCGTCGTATCTCGCGCAGATCGACAGGTAAACCGATCAACCGGCGTGCTGGGGTTTCTCTGACTCTCTCCGTTCGGTGAATGTTTACAAACGTATTCCGAAACGTTGGTATAAACATAGATGGCCTGTAGCAGCCCGTCGTGTCTCGTAATCGCATAGAACGCGTGATTCACTGGGTAAATACGCACGATGTATCCTTCCCCCTCTCGCGGACCTCTCCTTTTCTCGAATGTCGAACGATCAACTTTTCCTATGTACAACACTCGTCGATTCTTCTTCGTTGAATCGAATCAACAACACACGCGAGACAGTTCGGAGCGGCGACGTCCGCACTTTTCCACTTTGTTTTCCTCGAGTCTTCGATGTTCGATCCAGCGTTCCTCTAACAACGTCGTTTCTTAATCATATTGTTATTCAAGCCGAAAGACACGTTGCACAACGAGAAACGTTTTGACGCAAGCCTGGCTCCACGTATCGCGTGGAGAATCGAGGAACGCTGTTACGAGTTTTCACTGATCGTTTCGAAAAGGTACGAGTTTAACGTTCCTTCCTCTGGTTTGCTTATACACAACATACGCACACACACGCGCGCACGCACACACATATACACACATGAATTAAGATACGAGAGAGTTCGTACGCCCAAAGCTGAGCGACCGCTCGTCCGCCAGCCACGAACCTTCTACTCTCTTATTATTGTTTTGGTTCTGCCGCGCATGCGCACTTTCCCCCACGCTCGTGTAAACAAACCGTTAACTCGTGAGTCGTGAGCTCTAGCGAATCGATAATACCTATGTCATTTCCTTGTTCTACGTTGCCCTGCCCCCCTCGTCGCGAAACCCATAGCAGCCCATAGCCCTTTACGGGAGATAAAACGATCTCGCTAGTCTTTTCTACGTTTACAAAGCGTTGCTTTGCATCCTTAATCCTTTAGGGAATTAATTATCGCGCCACACGAGTTTCTACACAGGAGTGTTCGTTCCTGCTCCCGAAATGCTTACGTTCGGAGAAAACCGTACCAGGGACGATCGGGGGATACAGGGCGAAGGGGGACAGAGTTTGCAGTGTACGGATCAAGGTTACACTCGAGCTCGTGTTAACTACGTCATCCTCTGCCAAGTTTATCATGCGTGCGCACACGCGCCTGCTCGATTCCCAACTTGCGACTGTGTATGTTTACGTGCACAATTAAGTAACCGCACTAACGAATCATTCATTACCCTAATCCTTTCGCGCACGCATCCAACCTCTTTCCTTAACTCGATTCCATCCTTCCATTCCAAATCAACTTAAACGTACTTACACACTCCCCACCCTTCAGCTTACATTCATTCGGAATTTTCATTGTTAAATGGAAAATTGTCGAAATATTTCCTGAAAAGTCGATTATCATTTTTAATGTTCTCATGTATATCGTGTTACCATTTTTTAGTAACCGAAGAAAAACTTCTCCAGCAAATACATTTAAAAGAACAGTTTGGTTCGCCTACGAAATTAGATTCTGCGACGGATAGTAAGAACTCGTGTAATGATGTAGCGATTGGAAAAATTTCTTGGAAAGTCAACGATGACACGATTTTAAAAATATCTAAAGCACATTTATCGCGTCGATTTTCTCTTTTTTACAAACTCTTTTTAGACTTGTATTGTTGTGGCAACAATTATCGCTTAAACCTTTTAACTTGAACCTTATCTGTTTATATTCTTATATTAATATTAATTGAAATGAAATGGTGTCTTTAATTGTTATTATAACATGATTAAAAAATATTATGTAGGAGCAAAATAAATTATAAAATTAATTAATCCATTTAAGTGGTTCTAATTTCCTGCCCTTTTAATATATAAAATGGCGTTTTCCATTATCACGTTCGCCAACTGCACAATACAAAATTTGTGCACCTCTGATTGACTTGCGGCCCCCTAGGTAGCGCTTATGCGGCTTTTGTTAAAATGGTTAAAATGCAGTATGGCTACCTCACGGAGGATAAGTTCATTAATTAACAATTTTTTGGTTTTTTATGTAGTACTTTTTAACTACATGAAAGTTCCTTGTTGAGTTAGCGATCCGCGAATCATTTGACATGTAAAATGAGCTTTTCCGTGAAAAAGACAGGTGGTAGAATGTGGCATGAAGCTCGAAAACAAGAAAAAAAAATTCGTGGAATGCTAGTAGATTATCGTCGTCGAGCCGAACGTCGACGAGATTATTATGAAAAAATTGTAAGTAATCAACAAAATAATCATACATCGCTTACGTTACAATTATAACAATTTATAGCAATTATAACAATCCTTTTGTTTTCTAACCTCAAAGAGTCGATCTTTCAATGTAATTATAAATTGCACACTTATTTTTTATTTATTTATTGATTATTTGAAAGCAATAAAATTTAGAAGCATAAGTACAGTCAAGTGTAATGCATAAATACGCGTTTTTTACACATATACATATATTTTTTTTAGAAATCAGATCCTACACAATTTCTGCAACTTCATGGCAGACCGTGCAAAATACATTTGGATCCAGCGATAGCTACAGCTGGCGATAGTCCTGCTAATATGTAAGTTAAAATCTACCTAATATGATATATCAATATTAATAGCACTATATGTATATTTAAATTTCTATTTTTAAATTAATTTATTTTACCCCAAAGTAAAATAATGTTTTTTGTACAAAGAAAAATAATTCATGTGTTATATAAATAGGATGCCATGGCAAGGAAACGAAGACAATCTCATTGACCGTTTCGATGTACGTGCTCATCTTGATTGGATACCAGAAGGACCACATTCTATCGATGTAGATATAGCTCTCACTAGTGAAGATAGACATATCAATTACGAACGTTATCGTATAATAGTTCAAAATGAATTTTTAGGGGGTGAGAAATTGTTCTTATTTAAATATTTATGTCTCAGCTTCAAAAGTGTTTGATCAATTATCATTTTTAATATTTTTATATATACTATATTATCATTTTTAAGTTACTGAAGAAAAATTTCTGCACCAAATACATTTGGAAGAACAGTTTGGTTCATCTACAAAATTAGATTCCACAAGAGATAAGAAGAAATCATGTAATAATGTAGCAATTGGATACAATTATGAAACAGAAGAACCGATACCTGAAACAGTAAAGTCATTGGACAATGTTGTATCGGATGAAAAAGCAGACGATGAAGATAGTGATATAGATTTAGGTATATATTCTCCAAATACATGATACAACTTTGGACATAACATATTACAGTTATTATAATATGAATTTGAATTTTTTAGATATTTGCGTAGATGTATCTCAAATAGAGCCATCTCAAGCACATGAAATGAATTTAGTGGCTCAAAAATATGGACTTTTAGGAGCTGATTATTTTAGTTTCTTAACGCAAGATTTCGAGGAAGCCGAGACATTAAGACAAGCACGTAAACAGGAAGAAGAGAAAGCTATGTACTCGGTAAAGCATGTTTCATTCATTTTTCATATTTTCGTACTAACTGTTATACAATAAAAGTAAAAAAAAAAAAAATAGAAATAAGAGTTACATTTTCATCGTATTATGAATACAGGGAAGAAGATCACGAAGAGAAAGACGTGCATTTAGGGAGAAAAAGATGATTGGCAGAGTAATGAGTCCACCCAGGTAATTAATACATTAAAAAACCAAATTTGTCTTCAATGTATATTATTTAAATTAATTGAAAATTCAATGAATGTATTTGTAACATATTTATTTTATGCATCAAGTTACGCAGCAAGGGAGAGTCCCGAATACAACCCTTACAGAAAATCTTCGTCCAAATCTCGTTCAAGATCTGTATCACCTGTAAATACTGGACAAATTACTTACATTACAAGTTTTGGCGACGAAGAGGAAACCCATGGAAGTTCATCTCATGTTACTTCTTCTAGTTCAAAAAAAGTCAATTACTCCCATCTCAGGCGAAGGAGATCGGACAGTCCAACGCTCAGCGAGAGAACGATTAACAGAAAACTTTCGAAATCGAGGTCGAGAAGTTGCTCTCGTTCGGTTAATAAATCAAAGTCTTACAGAAACCGTGACAGGAAGCGTAGTACATCCAGAATGAGGTAATTTTATTTGGCCAGTGAAACTTCGATTTAGCAGACTAAAATTTTCTTGGTTAAATTGAGGTTTTGCTGTATTTAATACCTATACTTGATACATCAACTGATGAATGATTTTCAGATCTAGAAGAACACGATCAAGGCACAGAAAAGTTACAAGATCGCGAACACGAAGTCGTTCCAGAAGATCACGAACCAGAAGTAAATCTAGATCTCGTTGTCGAAGCTTTAGCAGATCTCATTCGCGTACTGTTTCGAGATCAAAGACGAGATCTAGATCTCGTTCCCGCCAAAAAAGGTCTAGAAGTTTGTCTTCGAGCAGTGTATCCAGATCGAAGTCGAAATCAAGATCTAGATCAAGAGTACGGTCGAAATCAAGATCCAAGTCGCACAATAGAAGCCATTCGAGAGATAGTTATCGTCGAAGACATTACTCTCCGTCGAAGTCGGTGTCTAAATCTCGCTCCAGAACTAAATCCCAATCTAGATCGAGATCGAGATCGAGGAGTCAATCCAGGTGCAAGCGATCGCGGAGCGTTGAGAATAAGGCGCCAGCACTGCCAAGGTACGACGCATGTTTCCAATGATATACAAAGTGAACCGTTTAAACGGGAACACTCGAATATTTTTGTTATTTATGGTTGTATTGTCATTTCTTAAAGAGATTTCAAGATCATTGTTGTGGTTTTAGATATTACGGCCGACGTGGAAAATCGTCAAGCCTAGAGTTAGAATTATCGGATAGCGAGGACAAAATTCCTATGGCAGCACCAAAACCAACAGTTAATAACACCACGAGCATGTAAGTTCTGTTATATCCTATTGTCTCCAAATTCATAGTCATCGCAGGAAAGTTTTTATTCGTCAGACAGTATAATTAAAATATATCACGCAATACTGACAAATATATTAAACATTTCAGGAACAAGCCAAAAGCAGGGTTAAGTACAAATTCTGGTGGCGGGCACAAAGTCAGTAAGAACCATAACGCTTACTTAGTCACTTAAAGCACAGAGAATAAAAGACAGTATATACTCTCTATATAAACTACCCTCTCGACGATGAACCTCAGCAAGTGCTACTTGTTTTCATTCTGTTGGGCAATATAAAATACCTACATAGTATTATTTACGTTTCATTTTAATTTCTTTTCGCTTGTTTAACGAAGCTACGAAGGAATTGAATTTTTTAATATAGTTATTCACGTTTTCTTATAAATTTGTATTGCAATTTTAATTTTCATTACAACAGTTTTAACAATATAAATAATTTTTATTCTTACGACTATGTAGACGAATTTCATAAGTATTTCTTTTTTTTTTTTTTTTTTTTTTTTTAATTTTAATTTTATTACTGACATTATCAGAATGAAAACATCGAATGTTTTGTGGTACGATTTATTTGTTTTGTAGAAATAGTAATATAATGAAAAGAGTGCTTCATTATAGGATATACTTTACAATGAAGTATTCTTCTAACAAATAATTTAAATGAATATTTTAACATATTATCAAGTACAGTGAAATTTGTATTTAAATCTTGGATAAATTTTATGTTCTTCTATATATATTACAAAAGAAATCGTAATAACTTATAACAGACTTTTAAGAGTTACATCTTTCAGTCATTGAAAATCACACCCCAGGAGCGGCTTAAGAAGAAAATGCAAGCTTTATTAAACAAGCAATGTAAGTTCAGTTTGTCTGGATCATTGATTATTAATATCTCCTTATAATACAATGATTACGTTCAACAGATAAAGCTGATAAAAAAGCAGAACAGCTTAGGATTGAAAAG